ATCTGTTTGTCTATCGTCTATTTCACTGCTGATCTTGTGACCACGCGAGCAGATGAATCGGCGTAGCACCGTTTGCGGTCTTCTAAGAGTCAAACCAAAACTAATTACTGACACACGAAGATCTGTATATATGAGGCATGTTGCGATGACGCAGTCTTGTACAATCTGACAATCTGCAACCCAGGGCCCTGGTTCATTGGCGGTCGGCTCCCCGAGGATCGCGTCTGACAGACATGAGTCTTACTCGCTTACTCGGCAACTTGGTCGCTTCTGATTGACGCCTCACTAAATAAAAAAGAATAATAATTTGGTGAGTGATTGCCGTTCATCGGAGGTCTGCTGTCTCAAAAAGCTACGTAGCCGCAAATGAGGATTTGGGTAACAGAGACGTCTCCCTGCCATCCCATGCCACAACGCCAGTAAACCAATATGGACAAAGCTAGAGTCCAATTCCAGAACGCACCCTGCGCACCCCACACAGACATGCATATCCCGATGACAGGGGTCTAGCCCAGGCTACCCAGGACAAGTCTCACTTCAGCGTTGGCGGATTGGCGGATGTGAAGCAGAGACGTCAATTGAGTAACCTAGCTTGTAGCTTGTAGCTTGTAGCTTGTAGCTTGTAGCTTGAGAATGTCCGTCCATACAAATACATAGATATCCAATCAATGCAGCTAACCTCGCTCCAGAATCGTAAGAGAGACCCATGGTCCGATGTCGCGTCACCCGCTGCTGCGGAACACTAGATATTAGGCGTTATACTACATACTGTACAGTATATATGGTACCTATATAGGTACATATGTACATATGCATATACGTCTGTATCGTGTTTAGGATGCGGCCTCTGCGCTATGCAGCCATATGCTGGGGCTAGGTAGGATCTGAAGAGGACGAATCCGTTTACGAGAGCCTCCATTTGGGGTGTGATGCGTGGCAGCGTGGCAGCGTGGGGTATATATTTCCAGAATAGACAAATACGTCTTGAGAACCAAACTTAGGAGCTACGGGGGAATCAACTGAGATGTCTTGTTTCTCGGATGTCTCACGTACGTATGTTCGTCGTTCAAAGGGGCAATGCCGTTATATCCCTCAACATCTATTAGTATGTCTTGCCGAGCTGACGCAACTGCATGTTTATTAATTTGCCCACGATGCCGTCGATCGAATTACCTGATGAGAATCATAGTCAATGTCATGAATAACGAGTAGTTTGAGATGTGTCTTTGAGTAACTTATAGGTTAGACTTACCTTGAGAGTATGGAGTATGGAGTATGGAGTGTTTCTGCTGCTCGTGCTGCTCGTGCTATACTGCGTAACTCCTATACGCCCGATTTAGGATAGTGACAATATCACGTAGCCAATAAAACAGCTTTTCTATGCTTGTCAGATTTGTTAGAGACAGCCCTCTGGGTTTCCGCTAATAACTCCTGTTCGGTGCTATTCTGCAAAGCGAACCTGCATTTAATTTGAAGTAGGACGGACGGCAGAGTTACATACATACATACATACATACATACACTATAGTAGTCGGATATGTGACCAGGGTTACAAGAGACTAATGCTAGATGTGTCTGGGCCGCGTGACCTTCCGTACCATTGCACTTTTAGTTCATGTTTTTGGTTCGCTTTATACATAGGCCTTGTAAAGTTATAAGTAAAAGAATCGACAACAGTAAATAGTCGAATACTGCCAATCAGAACGCATGTTTTATGCGATGAGTGTTATCTCGAGCTAGGATTCCTTGCGAACCGTTTAACTATTTAGTTTAACTATTTAGGCCCTAGACCCCGTACATAGGTAGTCAATCTAGATCTCGGCGAATATATGACAAAACCGTGATCTCGTTTCTAAGCGTGTATACATACACTATGTACGGACCACGCGATTCGGAGACCATTGTTTGTCAGATCCCCAGACCACATCTGTCTATAGACTTACACAATATCCGTCTCCGATGCTGTTGCATGCGTAGGTACTTACACATTGTATCTCAAGACTTATTAAGTAGGCTGAGTAAACGGAAGGATCAAGCGAGATCGGCCTTATAAAATCGGAACAAGCCTCGAGGAAGGGTAAGGTTTTCCCCTCCTAATCCCTGCTGTTGCGGAGGGAGCGGAGCGGACGTAATTAAAAAAGGCTGACGGGCGGCGGGGGCCAGGTCCCTTTAGCACGTGCACCGCATATGTAGGCTGTAGGTAGGTAGCATACTATGTATGTACCATCTGTACGCAATGTTAAAGGGAGAGAGGTCTTCGTTGTCCTTCTAAGCGCAAAGGATTCCCACTTTGCGTTCCGAGAAATCCCGTAGTTCAGCAACAGCCCCGTGGGCCAGCCTAAATATGTATGTAAAAAAGGCATGCAGTCGAGTTGCCTACCTACATACATACTAACACACGCAGTATGGGCCTACGGCTCGTTTATGAACCGCGGCTTCACCGCTATCGCCGATGCTCGTAACCGTACGATGCGCTTGACTAGTAATTTCAGGGTATTCTCATTACCTGATGAAAATATCTTCCCTTGTATCATTCGTCAGTAAGCGTAATTTGGGAAGATTTGACTTGCTGCGGGCAAGGCTCTTTGTCGTAGAGTCCGGCATTAAAAATAAAAAAAAAGAGGAGCACGCCGACTCGGGACGAACATTTCCTTATTACCAACCTGCTTCAGAGCTAGACTAGAAGGGTATTGATAGACATAGTTGTATCGCAGGCTGCAAGAAGCACTTGACTTTTATGACAGCCCGTAAAAACCGGGAGTCTTTGTGCATTGGACAGATCCGTTAGGTACCTAGGTAATCACATGCTCACGAGAGCCTCAGGGAAAAAGCAGCAACGAAAAAAACAAACGTCAATGTCTTAAAGATGTAAGTTTAAAATGCTATTTGCGCTTCTGGCCACAATATGAACTTTATGCTTGAATACTGCGGCAATTGCCTATAACAAAGCTCTTTCCTGTATATTCAACGTACCTATGTATTGTCCGGACTGTAGAAATGAATTCGCACCTGCCGTGTAAGTGACCCGCTTAGTAATAGCAATCCGTAATAATAATTGGAATTCTTCAATTGGAGCCTCACAACCCTCACCACCACACATCCCACTTCGAATCTTGCAGCAACGCTTCCCTGAAGAACTGCCTTCCGAAAACAGCATATTTCCCTCTTCACTACGACCGGGACAATATCGCACGAAATGGTCGCTGGCTCGGCACTTCACAGAACCGCCAATTGCATTTAGTCGCAAAATCCCTTGTCCTGTTCCTAACCGAGCTCGATCGTCATGCTGTCTCTCCTCCCAGACCTAACACCACGCGACGTACGTTGTTGGTCCGCCCTACACTGCACCCCCCCCCCCCCCCCCCCCGGGTAATCTTCTAGCTTGGGAAGCTAACAATGGCAAAATAGTCGCACTCGCTATGGTACACCTCCTCCCGCAACCCCCTCTCGAGCTTCACATACGATGCGAACCCCCAGCACCTACAACCGCAACAGCAGCAGTATTTACAGCAGCAGGACGGCTCTGCAGGGAACCCCCACGGGGCTAATAACCACCGCCGCGGGGCCCATCTAGTTGAGCGGTCGCCGCTCGCGCGCCTACGTGCCGATGAACAAAACCTCGAGCGCCGCCGTCTAAATGTCGCTAACTTCGGCAACGCATGGCTCAAGCCCCCTGGCATCCCCAAGACCTTGCACCAGCTGCGCGAGGAGCGCCGTGAGGCCGAAGAGCACCAGGAGGCATTGCGTCGCGAGCAGTTAGCACAGGAACTCGCCGAGGCTGAGGCCGCGGGCGTTAACGCCGTCGATGCTGGCCTCGACGCGCAGGGCGACGATGGGGTTATGGACGATGTGCAATTAGACGGGGCTAGGGATTTGGACGAAGACATCCCCGAGGCGGATGCCGATTTTGGTATCGGGTCTGATGACGAGGATGAGGATGAAGAAGATGAAGAAGATAGCGATGACGATGATGAGGATGAAGATGACTCTGAAGATGATGACGATGACGATGACGATGACGAAGATCCAGAGCAAAGGGCAGCACATGCGCAACAGCAGCTCATGGCACAAAGGATGAGGCAAGCCGACGACGCGTTTCGCGAATCGGGGGTTCGCGGCCGGGATAGCAATTACTACGGCGTCGACGACGAAGTAGACGACGAAGACCAGGCCCAGATGATCGAGGAAGACGACCTAGTCGGTCACGGAGACGGTGCGGACATGGATATGGATGCCGACCTCGATGATGATATCCCCGAAGCAGAGGACGGGGGCTATGAGCACACCGACTCTGAGGCGGATATGAGCAGCGACGAAGAAGATGACCAACCCGAGTTGAGCTTCGCCGCGCAGGCATCCCAGCAGGTATCCCAGCAGGCGTCACAGCAGCATAGGTACAGGCATAGTCTAGCACGAAGCGACGCGACGCGGCATAGCCTCGCTATCAGCGACATCCTATCCCACGACGGTGACAGCATCGGAAGCAGCCCGCAACTCCAACGGCGCGCCAGCGGCCCTGCTCGTCGAGCTCGAGGTTGAAGATAACAGGGGAGTCATTGGACTTTGCTTGCATTAATCACATCACATCGCATCACATCGCATGGCATGGCATGGCATGGCATGGCATGGCATTACTTTCCACTGCATCTGCATTACCTCGAGATACCCAACCCCTTTTATTATTCTTCGTTCTTCCGCGCCGTCCCCTATGGAGAACCCGTAGCCAGCCAACGAGTCTTTAGTATTTTCTAATGCAAAATAATAAAAAATAAAAAGACGGTCAAGACATGAATTATGATACATTTGATTACAAAGCTCGTAAAATGACTCGGCCGGCCCGCGTCTTCCCATATGTGCTCGTGAACTCGTACCATACCATACGTGTAGTGTATGTAGTATGTCCTATTCAGAGAAGCCAAAAAACAACAATAACCCTTTTGCGCATCATCATATCGCTCCCATACCAAACATCCCAAAACGCCGTTTTCATAATGCTTTGCTTTGCTCTTCTTTCTTCTCTTGTTGTCTCTTCCATTTTTTCCAAGTCGTCTCGCCTCGTTTTGCTTCGCTTCGTTTCGTCTCGTCTAGTCTTGGTAGGCAAAGTGAAGATCAGAGATCCGCAAGCCGCAAGCCGCAACGGGCATAGGAATCAGAATAGCCAGACGTAGAGGAAAATAAAGATGACGGCAGCAAAGAACGCCAGCCACACCTTCCAACCGACGCCGGTGCGCTCCGCCATGACGAGCATGCGGTTCATAGTGCCGCGCAGCCGCAGGCGCGTCGAGTCAAACGTATCGTTCATCTTCTCCGCGAGCGCCGAGGACTCCCTGATCTCGTCGCCGATAGCCGAAGTCATCTTGGGACCGGGGTAGGGTCGCGTTAGCATAATCTGTCTCAAAACATTTACATCCCTTTTCTCTCTCTTGCGCAGCCGCACTGGTTAGGTTGCTTCGTTTGTTTGTGTAAATGATATACTAGAATATCCAAAGCAAGCAAGCAAAACCTTCGCCCCCTCGACTTACGCGCAGCATCAACAGCAGGACGAAACTCACATCTTTCAGGATCTTGACCTTCCCTAAGATGCCCTCGACCTGCTGGTCGTTCTGGCTCTCGAGCTCGTTGAGCACCGCGTCGCTGTATTGGCCCCTGTACGCCATCTACCCGTTAGCTAGTTTGTCCGTTCGGCATCGTAGATATCTAATCGCAGAGACAGGTAGGCATGTAGATGGGCATCGGTGCGGGTAAGTGAGTAGGTATTCGTACCTCGAATTCGGCGTCGCAGGCCTGTAATTCCCCCTACTATCCACGCCTAAGTGCGTACTACCACCGCCGCTCGCCGCGCCGTTGCTTCCTCCGGGATACCCATACCCGTAGCCGCCCGGCGCCGGGCTCGCTCGTCTCGCAGGGTCGGCGCTATTCCGTCCGCTGCCGCTGTAGCCCTCGAACAGAGCGCTGCGGGAATCTCGCTGGTGGAGCGTCGAGTGGCCAAACCTGCGACGATGCATTCCATTAGCTTCAGTCTACCCTAGACAAATGAACATTCATCCCATAGTGTTGGCAGTAATGCTTGTGCCGTATGCAAGCATGCACGTAAATATGCAAACACCCTGCTCTCCCCTCCCCTCCCCTCCCCTCCCTTCCGCTCCCCTTCCTCACCTCGCCACGGCGCGATCTACAACAAATCTCCTAGTGTCCCAAGAAACCCGCATCCCGGGTAACCGCGAAGCAAAGACCCAGCCCGGAAACAGTTTATCCAATAAGTGTTTGCTTGTTTGTTTGTTGGTACGTACCTTGATGCCATGCTGTTGCGAAACGATTATAGAAAAATATGGCTGGAAAAAGATTAGGTGACAACGTTTCTTAATTCGATGTTGCGCGACTCAGAGAAGTTGGCAGCTTGGCAGCTATGTAATATAAGGTGATAAGGTAAGCAAGCAAGCATGAATTAATTTGCTGGGGATAAAAAAGCATCTGCCAGGTGTTGCCACGTGTGGTCACAGCGTACATAAAGTTTACTGTAGGTACGTACATGCAACTTATGCACATGCAACTTACATAGGTACCTACATAACATTTGACGGCTATCAGCGCAGTTATGTAGCCGTAACCTTCTCAAACCGACGGCAGCCACCAAGAAAAAGGTTTAGGAATAATTGGATGACATTAATCTTAATCTAAAAGGAACTGTACAAGCTTATATCTTATACTAATAGAAAGCCTGAATCGGCCTTATACGTCAAGTGATGATCAATTACTTCTCCCAAGTGAAATCATCGGATAATCCCTTAACCTAGTCGCATCCATTTCAACTCGGCATGGCATGAGATGTCCACCCAACTGTAATATAAAAATAAGAAATAGTAATATCTTATACAGTCTATGTTGAACAACATATCCTAATATAGTAAAGTTATCCTTCAAAGTGCAATAGTTTTCAAAATCTACGTACATATAAATAACCATCAAATCCATACCAGTCACGAAGTAAAAAAAGGTTGTCAAGTCCATGTTTTCAATAGTATTGACAATGCTCTCGCCGTAGTCTTATTATTATGGATCAGGAACCAAAAAATGCCCTTATTCTCCTTTCCACACGAGACGGTCTGGATTAAACCGGAGAGCGGCTTCATCCAAAACCCATGACAGTTAACTCGTAATCCCGCACCGCTGTTTAGATCCATCACTTCGCCTTGTCCATACACATGCCCGTCAACCCCTCCTTGCTCCTCAACTCCTCGTAAGTTGGGTTACCAAGTTACCCTATTCAGTGTGCAACAGTGGTATCGAAAGGTAAACGATAGAGCTGCACGTCGCTTCAAGTAGGCAGATAACGATGGCGGTATTAGATTGCGTTACAATGGAACATAAGAAGCGACCCGAGGACCAAGAAGCAGGACTCTATACTGTATCGTAGAAGTCGCTTCGGTCGAATATATATAGCAGTCGCCATATTCCCTTTCTTTGTATGTTGTGATCTTGGAATTAAGATCTCCAGGAGAAGAAAACATCTAGAGCAGATTCGCTGGTAGAAATATTATGCACAAGGGATAGTAAACTGTAATGCAAAGACCGCTGAACTCCTTTTAGAATCCAAGACAAAATGTAAAACACGACATAATACCGTCGCCCGAGAGAAGATATATTGTTGTCCAGGTTCGGGTATCATCTGAACAGTAACGGAAAACCAGTACAGAGAAATCAAAAATTTTGAGAGATACCGGTGCTTTGTTGGGGATAGTGCGACGGGTTCTCAATGCGGGTATTGCGTCGAGCTGGGTTGTCCCGTATAACAGGTTGTCCGTATGCGCCGTCAGCATACGGGTTGTTCCCGCCGTATTGATCTAGGTAAGGCGGACCTCCGTAAGAGGCGCCATTCTCCCCAGAGCCATCTGATCTGCCGGCTGCACTATAGGACGACGAGGCATTGGAGGGTCCACGGCGAACATCACCGGTGCCGTTATTGCCATCGGTAGTTGGGCCCATGGCGCCGAGGATCTCACCTTCAGTTGGCGAGCCAGAACGATCGTTCACTAGGCCATCTCCTGATCTCGTATCAGAAAAGTTACCCCTGGTTGGTGATGTTGCATCTGAATAGGCCACACCTGCTGCTCCACCAGACATTGTGGTGGAAGCTTTTCTCCCAGTTGAACCCGCCAGAGTGGTAGATCCCCATCCACGATAGCCTGATCCATCTTCCTTCATCTCGTAGGCTCCTGCGGCACCAGCGGCTCCTACTTCCGGCAAAGTCGGGTCGTCATTTGGGTTGTAGCTGTAGTCTTCTACTTCTTTCCGCCTCTCCTCTGCAGCATCCTTTCGTTGCTTTCGTCTCCTCCAGAAGAAGATACCGGCAGCAACTAGCAACGCCACAGCAGCAATTGGAACTACAACAGCAACGGCAATCTTGGCCTGCTCACCCATATGGGGCGAGCTAGAAGCACCTGGGGATATAATTGCGTCAGATGGGCCTGCCGTAGATGTCTGACTTGTCGGCTGCGCAGGCTGCGCGGTCACCTGGGTTGAGGTAACGGTGATAAATTGTGTGCTTCCATCTTCCCCAGTGGTTATTTGCGTCGTAGTGATGATCACGCTTGTTGGAGTCGGAGTTGGAGCCTCCGAAGTAGAGCTAGACGGTGTCGATGTCGGTGACGTGGGGGTTGGGGTTGGGGGGGCTGATGTCGATGTCGACGTAGGAGTAGACGGTGCAGGGGCTGAAGTACTTGTAGTCTCAGACGTGGAGGAAGGTGGCGGTGGTGGTGCTGAAGTAGAAGTTGATGTTGTCGGGTCTGGAGTTGGAGTTGGCGGATCGGAGGTGCTGATAGAAGTGGTTTCGGGAGGTGGTGGTGTACTACTGGAAGTCTCAGCTGGAGGACTGGTAGACGTAGTCTCAGTCGGGCTCACAGACGGGCTATTAGACGGACTATCAGACGGGCTCGACACTGCGTCCGGTGTGGACGTGTCGGCGTTTGTACTGTTAGAAGACATGGTAAACTGCCTCCTGGCTAGCAATCCAGAGAGATGCCTACGGGGCGACATATTAGCATCACGGAATGGCTCAAGGAGAGGGTGATTATGAACATTGGAGACAGTTAAGATGGATTGAAAATATCGTATAAAGGAGCCGATCGCAAGAGGGTCTAAACAAAGTGGAACACTATTCGGATGAATGGGGCACTGGTACTTATTGGTCCAATGAAGTTATCGTGGTCGTGGTCGTGGAATGTGTCGCAAATCGCCACAGCATAAATTCTCAATGAATAACAAAATACGGAATAGAATGAGAAACATACCCTTCACAAAAACCGGCTAGCCGACTTGACCAACTCACAGTCGAATAAAGACTGGATGAGAGAGTCGCAACTCTTTTTTAGTGGAATCGACACTTTGACAAATTTGACTTGGCTGCTGTTTCGAGTTGGGCCGTCTTGAGACGCGAACGAGGAGGACGCCAGAAGGGAGAACGAAGACGAGAATAGGATAACAATATGGGGGAATACAGTATTGTACAGTGGCACGGCCGGCGGATGGGCTGATGGGCAGTCTTAACCAAAGCAATTGAAAACGATTGGAACGAACGAATAGGCTAATGCATATGAAGTAGGTAGGTATGTACACCGTGCAGGGGGACTCCTAGGTAAGGCGTGGCTGAGCTCTTTTTTTTTTTTTTTTTTTTTCCCTTTTCTCTTTTCCCTTTTCCCGCTTGTGCCTCTTATTCTCTCAGCTTATGCAAGGAGATTGGAAATGATAGGGCAGGAATGCAGCAAATCAGAACGGGTCCAGGAGTTGTAGTTTTTAGTAAGTTTCGGTATGTAGAAACGAAGGTGGATTTTTAGCAAAACGAATGTCAATTAGTATATTAAGTCATAGACTTTTGACAATGTCGTCAGAGGGGGGAATCACAATGGATGAAGACAAAAAAAAGATGAATGGGAAAGGTGAAAGAAAGTACATTAGGTACAGTATGTAGTACAAAAAAAAAAAAAAAAAAAAGTTGGAAATTTCGATGCAAGACGGATACGTTCGATCCCGGAAGGTACTCCAATTGAGTTTAACCTCGCAGCCTTCGCAGGAATATCTCCGCTATGATAGTTTTTAGTGACTTCGTTTAAGATTTTAGCTGATTTAGCTGTGTAGTACGAGGTACACTAATGATAGATTAGCAGAAGATTGGCAGATCTGATGCCTTAAACGACTTAGCGCTTTTCTTTCGTGCTTTGCCCCTGGCGGCTTGTGGCTTAAACGCTCAAGTAATAACAAGTCCGAAGCGATGAAGCCTTCTTTCGGCCATCATCTTATTATTGTCCTAACCCGCATATCCAGGCCGCATTTCGCTTCTGTAACTACTAATAAGAAGCCAAAGAGATATTCTCAAAAGCCGAGTATCTAGTAGCTTATTTCGGAGAACCAAAACTTTGGGAACTCTGTATAACTAACTGACTAACTAGTTATACAACTAAGTACAACTTCATCTGCCTCGCCGGCGTTCTTTTGCCCCTGACTAACAAAGCCGCGGTACAAACTAGCACGACTCAAAATCAGGGCACATCCATATTAAGTATTGACAGGCAGCTGAAAGTTGGCAACTCTATTCATGTAAACTCATGTCTAAGAGGGTTGATAGCGGTATTAGCCTCACAGCCTAACCTGTCCGCTGTATCTATCAACTCTATAATTGACTTTAAGGTTTCTTCGGCTCTCTTTCTAGCTGAGGAATCCTCTAGGTTAGATGACTACCTAACGTTCCTAAATATGTCATCAGTCGGTCTCATAAAAAAAACAATTCGCAACTCTATGAATTACTGATGCTGCGCTCATTGACACCTGAGGCTGTCATGGACTTAATAAGCCCTATTTCTCACCTGTAGCATACGAGAAAATACTCACTTCTATACAGATTATGGGCTACGCAATTTAATATCGCACCGATGAAGAGACCATTATCTCTAATCAAATAGCCTCACATACTGCACATATCACTATTGTACGATGGCATACGTTCTTCTATAAGACAAGCCCATCCCCAGCCTACCTCTACCTCTGTAAGCTCTGCATCTGTAAGCTCCGCAGCTTCTACGTAGGGCACAGCCTCGACCCCAGCATCATGTATGCAACACAACCCTCCATTCAATATCCTCAATCCATTATATAGCCCCATACCATACGGTAATCTTTATTTAGCCTCCATTTCCGACTTTGGAAAAAACAGTGCTAAGTAATTAACGACACATCATTAGAACGTCAACAGTGACCCATCGGACGGACTTACAACCCCGTTCCAGCCATAGCAGCAGAAGCAATTCCTGCTTCCAAGTCGATGTCCCTTGGACATATAACATATAACACCCGATTTATAGTTTCCCTCCAACGTCATGTCTACCGCAGCCAAAAAAAATCCAATCCACATAAGCCTAGACGGTAATTGGCCCACCTTAGCCCATCTATGACGATCTGACCCGACAGCCGGCAACGTGCGAACCTTAGGTACTTAAGTGTGTATGTTAGGTACCTAACCAGCTTTACCATCTCAGGAAATGCCCTCCACAAATCCGATCTGCGATCCCATGCGGAGAGCAAAAGATCAACAATATCTAGGTTAGGTATCTCACTACGATTTCTCATCTACCTACCTAACCCAAGGATTTACTTACTTATTTATAAATAGGTACGTCGTCAGCTACGTTAGATGGATCTAAATAATACATACATATGTACATATTTGTACACCGTAGATCGACGCGCTCCCATACGAAACGCCGCGATGGGATCCCCGTGCGCCACTGTCAGAGTAAGCGCCAACTAATATCGTTAAGTACACAGGAGAGCCGCCACGGACGAAACGTTACCTCAGACGATCTTCGGACGCCGAGAGTAAAGTACGTACATCCATGTTTCTAACCTAACCGCCAAGTCAAGAGGCTGAAAACAACAACGTAGAACGATATGGCGTAGGATTTTATATATCCACGAACACAACACGATCTCTCTCCAGATACACCTACCTAGCAAAATGATAGAAGTAAAATCCATATTATAACACGGTATAGGTTAGGTATACTAGCAAAAGACGGGTTAACAAGAACTATTATGCAACGCCTACAACAAAAAAACTAGCCACACCATTTAAGTAATAATCTTGTTAAATAAAATCAATAAGCAAAAATCCCTAGGTATCTGTCGGTAATAACTGCACCGATCCCTTCTATATGTTTCCGCCATGCAAGGTAAAATGCTTCGCCGATCATGATTGCTTTCCAAATTACTCCACGACTGGGAGAGAAACGGCATTAACAGTACATATTTGATCAGATATACAAGACAGCTGGCTTTTGCCGCCTTCTAAGTTCTGACTGTATTATCAAGCCTTATATTCATTAGTCGCTCTAGTCCCTCATGTTCCACGATGGCTTCAGAGTATTGCCCATCGCCTGTTGTGTGAAAACGGTGTCTCCTGGCAAACGACTGACTCTGCCAGCACCGCCGCGGATGGCGCTTAGGTTAGTAGACGAAATACCGCTATGGTTGCTAACAACACTACCCGCGTCGCTCGCCGTGTCGGCATTCTTGAACCGACGCGGGGGGGCGAAATCGAGAGCAGTGAATGTTCCCGATTTACGCAACAAGTGACTTAAGATTTATGTTAGTATTTAGCTTGCAAAAGTATCACTAAGAATTAACTTACGGGCTGGGTAACGCTGGTGTGTCGTCGAAAGCGCTTACTAGCGGCGAGTGGATTGGCGTATTCAGGACGTAAGGTTTACGTTCACCAACAGGACTCTGCGACCGACCAGCTGCGATGTCCTTAAAAGAAGGGGGAGGAGCAAATTCGATAGAACCCATAATGGCAAAAGAGTCATCCCTCAATTTGGAAGGCGTAGGCAATGTGTTAAGCGCAGCAGGAGGGGGCATCGGCTTTCGCGGTTTGCCACCCACTCCATTACCTGCCATGCGGTTGGAGGCTGACGAATCCGGACGCGGGCTCATCGCTGCCCATCTACCAGTTGATTGTGTAGAGCCAGCCCTGGGTCTGCCACGAGGTCCACCGGGCATGTTCATACTTCCGTGAGGGCCGTGGCCAGGACCACGCGGGCCGGGTGGTCCACGGGGTCCTGGTCCTGGCATCGGTCGTCGGTTGCTCGGAGGGGGAGTCATGGCACGGCGAGTAACAGGTTGCGCGTAAGGCATAACGAATGCATTGCTGTCGGGATCAAAAAATGCGGTATCACCGAGATAGTTTGCATCGTAATCATCATAGTAGGTTGCTTTCTGTGGTTGCTGGGGAATGGGTGGTGGTTTTCCGGAATCAGTCTTCGTCTCCTCAAAGTACTCTTTGTAGAATGAACGAATCCTGTTGGCTCTGAACTCGGGATCTTCCGACTCGAGGAAGTCATCCGGTGGAAGAGGACGGAACCCAACAGATAGCCTACGGTTATCCTGGCCGGGCACGCCCAATCCAGCGGAAAGTGGGTGCACAGGCTCGTTTATACGTGGCTGCATGTGTCGGTCGCTGTTACCCGTTACATCATCATCGGCATCGCCGATCTGGAAATGAGCTGTGTAATCCTCGTAGTCGCTAGCGACATTAGATGCGGCAGCAAGCGATTCGTTCCTTGGCGGTCGCGCTCCTGCTGGAAACGAGCTGGTATCCCTTGGTGAGTTATCTATAATACCTAAACCTTGGGCGCCGGGCTTCGGCTTAGCAACAGAGTTCATAGTAGTCGCAGATCCGACAGCGTTAACGGAGCCGTTAGAAACACGCGAAGCTGCTGCTGCCGGCTCCTGAATCTCGGGGACCTTGGCGACAGTTGTGGCATCATTGACGAAGCGGAATTCATTCTTAACCGGGAGGGCAGGTTGCTTCTCTGCCGATTCACGACCCGATGATCGCTTCGCAGCAGGAGGCACTGGCTGAAGAGGAGATGGAGATGAAGGTAGCCCCTTTTGGCGGGTAGAGATATCGCCGGCCGTGTTAATACCGAGTCTCTGTCCGGGTCCTGAACTCCTATCAGGTCCTTTCTGAACGGTGCGTAAAGAACCCGCATCACTGGCGCCATAGCTGGTAACAGGTCGATAAGGATCTTCAGTTTGGTTGAGGCTCCTCGCAAGTGATTCCCGGGAGTTCTGTAGATTGGGCGGAAGAAGGTAAGGACTTGACAGATTCATATCCATAGAAAGTTGCATTTTGTGACTCGGGTCCTTCTCCTTTGCGAAGAAGGCACTTCGCCTTTTACCCGCTTTGCCGGGCAAACTACCCTCGAGACCAAAGTCCATCGACTTGTACTTGTCCGTCTCATCCTCTTTCCTTTGCCTTACGGTTGTTCGGTAGTGTAAATAAAGCAGGACGGAAAGTGCAAGTCCTACTGGAATGCTATGGAATTCGTTAGTCATATCCAAAGCTGAACCAGAGAATATTGATCCTCACCAAATACCTAGGATGATCGGAAGAGTCATCGAGCCACCAACCGGCTTTTCATCAAGATCATTCACTCTCGGGAAGAGTTGAGCAATCGTATTTGTCCCGGTGAGAACCGTGTTGCTATTCCCTTGTCCAGTCTCCAGTCGACCAGGCTGCTCTGCCTCCAATGGCAATCCCCTTATATGGAAATGGTGGTGTCCGTGGCCATGACCACGACCACTGTCGTGATTGTGGTGCCCCGCCATAGTGTCCAACTTCACTCTCAATCCCTTCTCTTAATGTTCACCTAAAGCTAGATGGAGCTAGGCAGGTATATTAAAGCCGATATCGATCAAACCTAACGTGATTTTAGGCTCATGCCAAAGCGGTATTCGGGATAGTCGTCGTCGAAAGCTGAAAGAAGCGCCGTTTAAATCAAAAGTCCTACCCACTATGCTGGAATCGAATATTATTCTACGAAATCGATGTCTCAACACTAATTGCCCGGGTAACGCAAGATCGGAAAGAATGACGAATGACTTGTGATCGGGCACAAATGAATGACTCGAAGTTAGCTATTATTAAGGAATGGCACGCCCGCAGGCAGTTAGGTCAGGTTGACCGATTGTCGAGGGACTCCTGTATTAGGTGTTGGGGTGAATAGGATGAAGGAGAGAAAGAGCAGAAGCGAAAGAGACAAAAGAAGCGAATACAAATGCAGAGTCTCTTTTGGTTGACCAGGATCAGGGGAACCAACGAATGAAAATTAATATGGCGGAAATGAATGAAGGGGTTGTGGGGACTGGCGGTACGTTAGGTGCGGTACTGTGCAGCTTTAGATGGGGATGAATTCCAACCGGCATAATAAAGGGCACTGTCCGTCATGACTACTGGTAAGCCACCGGACAGGGCAAACATTTGCTAGAGGGAACGGAGGGAAGACGCAAGCCAGTGGGCTGCCACATGCAACTGACTGTGACGGGTCTGTAGTACAGCACTGTGCAGTCCCTGATAGGAGCAGGGAGACTAATGCAGGAACAGAAAGACCATCCAATCAGGACCCACAGTTCTGCAGAATGATAGGAGGACATGGGTTAAAGCTACCCTAGTCCGAAAGAGAGCTGATCCAATTAGCTCCCCCCTTTTTGGGCAAGTTGGTTAAACTTGGTTGCGTTGCTTAAATCGTTCCAATCAGCCCTGGCGGCCTCCGCTATCTTCCCCTTTACCTTGACCATGTAGATTCTTTAGCCAGCTTGTATCTGGCCGAAATGAAAAGACAGCCTGTTTGTTAATTTCAAGGTTGTGTAAGAGACTCGAATAACATAATACATTGTCGACAAGTAAATTGATTGATTACCTATGAATAGAAACTATTGCGTCGGACAATGGTTCTCAATTAACCATACCATTTAATCGATCCTATTGGTAACGGCATGCATCCGTTATACATAAATAGGTTCAAGTGGTTCGTCAGACGGCTCCAGATTCGATCCTAAGGTAACATGCACCCACCTGCTCGAACCTGTCGAGGTAGGTCGGTCGATTAATAGTAATCAAGGAAAATCCCATAAATCCGGGAATTACCTGATTGAAGCTTAGCCAGTGCAGCTAACCTGGAAGTGCCACCAATCTAACGAGAAGCTTGTTTCTTTTTGAAACCATCCCTGGCGATTGGCTATTTGCGTCTCAGCCTCAATGGGTTCGACTGCAATATTGTTTCATAGCTTGCTTCTCTTTAACGAGCAGACCTCAACTACCTGTCTTGGATAGGGAGGTGGATATCATTAGAATACCTAGCCTTCCAACTTGGGAGCACGATGGCCTTGGCTGCAATAGACCTCGTTGTCGAAATATACCAGGTCAATTGTGTCAATTGTCTATTCTCGTAACCCCTCATGACTTGACTTGGTAGTATCCCGACGCATACTCCAGAAGCCACTCCTTCTCGATTTTGCTGATATCGCGAATAAATATCTTGCTGCCAGTTTCCATAACCTCGTGGAAAATTACCCAATCAGCTTTGCGGTTGAACATTAAAGAGCTAGGATGCGCATAGAGTGTTGTTCCACCTTCAACATTGCGGAAGCTTCCATCGGGTTGCATCCTGGCCGCGTGGGCAAAATATCCCGTCGTCAGACATCGTCGAATCTGCTCCCCTTTGTTGGCCGCTGACGTCTTGAGGCTCTCGTCTACTGCTATTCCAAACCGTTCCAGGTAGCGTTTCAGTTGCGCTCTGATACTTACGGCGCGGGTCATAGCTTTAAAATTGAGATGGTTTTCGTGACAAAACTTGGACTCTTTCTTGCCCTTCGTTACAAATGCTTGGTAGACATTTAGAAGCGTCAAGTGATCACCTTCTTCTGCAGCGAATTTCCGTCGTGAGGACTCTGTCAGCTTCTTTCCCCCCTCCCTCTGGATCCATACGGAACCGCTAATGGTTGCCATCGCCGCGATTGTAAGAATTTCGCTAAGACAGCCAAACGATGAGGCTGTCAATAGGGTTTTCGCCATCATGGGCTCTACCGCAAGCTCCGCCATCCGCATACCCAATGGTTTTGTAAGCTTAGCGTATTCATCCAGAGCACCTAAGGCAAAAAGCAGTTCTGTTGCTTTGGCCATAAGTTCCGCTGGTGGTGGTGTCAGATAGTCGAAGCGCACGACGTTATCAATACCAAGCGCCTTCAGTTGCAAGATAAATGGTGCGAGGTTAGACCTTTGTATTTCCGGGATGTTTGCATCAGGTAAGGCCTGAAAAGCCTTTTCAGTGTAAAGCCGAAAACATTTCCCCGGCTTTGTGCGTCCAGCCCTTCCCGCCCGCTGCTGTGCTGCCGCCTTCGAGACAGGTGTCGCTGTTAAAGACTCGATGCCAGTCTTAGCATCGAAGGCTCTTAGCTTGACAAAGCCCGAATCAATAACATAGACAATACCGTCGATTGTGACGGATGCTTCCGCGATATTAGTCGAGATTATGACTTTTCTTGTGTTTTCAGGCGCACTATCGAATACTAGCATTTGTTGCTCTGTTGATAACCCTGCATATAATGGAAGAGCAGCGATTGATTGAGCGGTTGGCGGAAGTTGGGCTGCTCGTTCCGCAATGGCTTGAACAGCTGTATCAATCTCTTCGCGACCAGTCATAAAGACAAGAATGTCGCCTTCTGGCTCTTTGGTATGAATGTCGAAAATTGTAGATATCGCCTTTTCAACGTAGTCTTCCGCGGGCGACTCTAAATAGAGAACATCTACAGGATACATCCTACCTTCAAGGCTAATTATTGAGCCTATCTCATTCTTTTCGCCATCGGGAGGTCCCTGGTTATCGGACTGCTGGGAGAAGAAGCTGAGAAAGTCTTCCGCTTGAAGGGTAGCGCTACTAATAATAATGCGTAGCTCTGGTCTTCGCTTCCGTATCTTCTTAAGAAGACCAAGGAGAATATCCGTGCTTATAGACCTCTCATGGGCTTCATCAACCATGATGACGGAGTAACGCGATAGCAATGGGTCGACCAGAGCTTCTCGAATTAGTAACCCATCCGTTAAGAATTTAATTCGAGTTGCAGCAGAAGTCACATCCTCGAATCTAATCGAATAGCCCACCTCTTTTCCCAACTCACAGCCATATTCCTCGGCTACTCTGATTGCAACCGTTGTAGCAGCAACTCTTCTGGGCTGGTTAAGTTAGGCATAGATTCATAGGAAGAAGCAAGGAATCATACCTGAGTAACACCAACTATCTTACCGTCAGAGCACCATCCCGCGTGCTCGAGGAACTGCGGTATCTGTGTGGTTTTACCAGAACCTGTGTGCCCAACAACGATTGTTACTGGGTTTTTCTCGATGAGGTAGAGTAAGCTATCGTGATGCTTGGCAATGGGTAGTAAGGCCGAAGGCTTATGGAGAGCAGGGATAAATGTTGAGTTGAGGTCAAAGTCTGCCATGTCGAATAGGGTTTTCTTTTTGAAAGTGATACTGATTTGTCGCTTCACCACGTTTCTAAATGTAAAGCTTGTGTACTTGAAAACACCTGTTGAACGTGCATCCCAGACTTTGTCTTGGAGGTAGTTTAGGATCTACATACGTAGTTCGATAACCAAACTAGTCTCGGAATGCTTACATTTTTTGAGTTTACCAGATATCAAAACATTATTTCTTTATGTTTTAAAGATGCTTCAAGCTAAAGAGCCAATGGTATGTATAATAGTATCAAGTACACGCATGTGATTAGGTTAGGTTAGAGTTTACCTCTAGGTAGGTTCAATTATCACCCACGCAACTGCGTAAGACCTGTGGCGCAGTATCTAATACATGTGTAAGTACCTAGGTATTCACTGTCACTCAGCCCTGTGGCCTGTGGCGGGGAACGTCATCCGCGTCGCAACTCACCTTTTGCCCCTCAGGCCGCCGAGATATTAGAGGTACATAACATAATATACATAGTGTACCCAGGTAGGCAATGCGCATGAGCATATCTCTAACTCTCCTGTTTTACCTTAGCTGTGCCTAATTAGGCAAACAAACGATTTCGATCCTCTTTTACTTCTGCAACGATAACTCCATTTTGCTATATTCTATCAATAATCATTCGTTAATTCATATCAACCTCCTATTTTACTTATCTCGCCTGTGTCCACTTGATCAACATGTCGGCCCCAACTGATACCGTAAGTTGCCATGCGAACCTGTTGCCGAATTTAATGCAATGTCCCGCATTTTTATTCTCAACGAGTCCTCTCTCAACGAGGACTTCATTCGCTAACATCGTACCTATTAATCATAGAGCAAGGCTAATCCAGCGCCTGAATCTCCGACTACTGTACGCCCGTTTGAAATGGACGACGATGATATTCAAGAGACGGGCATCCTTGGCGATGATAATGTCCATCAGACGACCGCGAGCGCAACCTCGACTTCGACCTCGACTGCCGCCAACCCACCCACAGCCAGCGAAGAAACCGCACCGCCCAAGCCTCCTCGGCCAGTTACCGAGCAACAAAAGAATGAATTAATTCTCAAAGAGGCCTTTCCGGGCATTGAGTTGCCGGTCATCAAAGCCGTTTTGATCGCGAGTGGTGGCCAGATCGATCCTGCTTTCAATGCTCTATTAGGTATGTGTAGTGCTGCTGAAGAACCGAGCCGGTATATTAATCGTAAATGAAGCTATGAGCGATCCGGATGCTGTCCAGAACGAACCCGAGCGCGAGGCTGCCCCTCCGCCTCAACCTCCGCGACCTACCGGGGCTAGAAGTCCTATGTCGCAAATAGAGGCCGACGAGCTCTACGCCCGAGAGCTTACCCAATACTACGAAAATGTTGGTGCCTACGAAGCGAGGTCGACAAATCAAGGCCCCGGTGGCCAGTATCGCCGACAAGCAACAGGTCTGAAGCCCAACGAGATGTACGACCGAGACCACAGCTTCATTGATGATGACCTGCCTGTCATTAAGGAAAACCTTCGCAAAGGATTCATCGAGACCCAGACAAAGGTCAACTCCTGGTTTACTAACTTAAAGAAGAAGATTGACGGCGAGTATGATGAGAATGAGGACGAGACACAGCCTTCTAAGCATCAACGCCAGGGTTTCGGTAGACGTAGTGGAGAAGGTTCGCGAAGAAGTGCCGATTACGATCGCTACGACGCCGACCCACAAGTTCTCAGCGACGACTTCGCAGGGATGAGGCTTCATCCGGATGGTAGTGAGTGATACTTGATTATACTATATAAAAAAACCGCAGTTAACACCAACATAGGGCCATCTCAGGAACGTCCATCAGGCAACCCAAGTCTCTACAGACCACCGCCATCTACATCTCCTAAACCTGAAGGTCGCAAGGTTGCCTTTAAGGAGGGAGTCGAAGACATTGATCAATATAATGCCTCCCCAAGAATTCCGCCCAAAGACAGCAGCGCAACCCCCCCTCCTGGCAAGCAGAGCAAATGGCAGCCTTTGTCTACAATTGAACCCGACCCGATTACAGACAACGATCCCTTTAGCCTCGGCGACAGCGAGGACGAGAAAGACGCGAAGGAAAAGAACGGCGGAGGGATCAAGATGGAAGACAGCGAAAAGCTCAAGCAAGCTACAGCAGATGCTATGGCTGATAGCTTGGTCGGGGGTTCTGGAAAGAAGACCAGTGGTGGTAAGGATTAAGTGAGAGATGGGTTAGAATACGATTACTGCCTACACATTTAGCGGTAGAAATAGGGTAATGTTGAGTGACGCGGCTTGATTGCGCCGTACGCAGCTAGGCTGTGCTATTCATTGGCCTTTACATCAGCATTTCCGATTTGTTCTATTCCGATTTGTTCTCTATTTCCTTTCCGTGTGAAACCCGAAACCCGGTTCCCGAGTTGAATACCTACCTTAGACAGGACGGCGGCGATCCTACCAGACTACAGGTAATAGTAACGAGACACAGATAGCAAAGGTTTAATTGGCTAAATGTACAGCATATATTCGTATCCGTATTATACCCTAGCATTATAGCAATATGTCTCCTTTAGTTCTATGCAAGACGGGATTATTCACCGCATATCATCGCGTCACTGTCTTAGTACGGGAATATAGACAGCCCGGCAACGCTCCTACGGGTAGCAAAAAGTATCCGATACTACTATACCTGTACGTCTTACTCTGTACACTACCTACACGAAATTGCGACTCAGCCCCGCATTGAAATGGCTCCAGGAAAGGTCTGTAGTATAATAGGTACGTAGGAAGACCTTACGGATGCCTAGGGGTCCGAACATTTTATATAAATACGTAATTCGCCATTTATCGCATGCCCCCTTCCCTCATTTGTAGACAGGAATAGTAGTATATCTTATATAAGATATAAGATATAATCATGTCGAGGTTATTGGAGTCGTTAGAGATTGGGAAAACCAACGCTGCAAAATTTGCCATACTCGCAGCCATCGTGGTACGTTCCGAACAGGTATGACTATGCCTGCCTAATAATAGCTAATAAGATGATACGGCACAGCTGATCATATTCGAAATAACGATAATCGTCTATAATCTTTACTTTCACCCGCTCCGTGACTATCCCGGGCCGACGTTATACAGAGCATCCCGAATACCATGGGCTCTCAAGTTTGCCACCGGCTCTCAGGCCATTTTCGTTCAGAAACTTCACGACGAATATGGATCTGTCGTTCGTATCGGGCCGAATCACCTTTCCTATACGGATCCGAAAGCGTGGAAGGATATCTATGGTCATCGAATCGGTAGCGAAAGTAGCATGAATGAGATGTCGAAGGCGCATAGTTTCGCTAAGGCGGTTCGCAGTAGGCCCAGCACGATCTTGAATATGGACCGCGATGATCACTCCAAGTTCCGCCGCGCCCTTTCTCACGGGTTCTCGGATAGTGCGATGCGCGAGCAGGAACCAACGATTGGGAAGTATATTGACCTTTTAATCAGCGTAAGTAGCCTAGGAACCCTAGAGGTTCTCTATTATATCTAAGGAGCTATGTGGCCTTCAGGTTGCTCTACTCTTAAGGTAGAAGGCGAAAGTGTTACATTCTATTCTCGTTGACAGACAGATCCTATATTTAAACTACCCCTTTAATTGAAGACAACTAACACACATCTAACCTAGAGGCTGCACGAGGAATGTGAGAACGAGAAGAAGAAACTGAACATCGAGGCTTGGTATAACTGGACCACCTTCGATGTCGTAGGCGATCTTGTTTTTGGACAGTCATTCCACTGTCTTGAGAACATCGACTACCATCCCTGGATCGAATCCATCTTCAAAAGTGTGCACTTCGGCGCTATGATGATCGCTTTGACATACGTTGGCCTGGGCGAACTTGTGCAGATAATATTCAAGTTTGGAAGCTCTCCTAAAAAGGCACGACAATACACTAAAGACATGCTGGCTACACGACTCGCTATGAAAGGAGAGCGCGATGACCTCTTCGAGGGCGTGCTGAAGAAACGTGAGGAGTGGGTATAGTTATACTTCTTCCCATCATAAGCTTGAAATTTTGAAATTTTGATGTTATAAGTGCTAACTCCATCTTCTCATTTAGAATCTCTCATTCGAGATGTTGTCTTCAAACGCATTCATTCTTGTGATAGCTGGATCTGAGACGACAGCAACGACCCTATCTGGCGCCACCGCCCTCTTACTATCTCACCCAGATATCCTCGAAAAGCTCCAGCAGGAAGTCCGCTCGTCGTTCAAAAGCGCCGATGAAATCACAATCACTTCGGTCAACAAGCTGTATTACATGCTCGCGGTCCTGAATGAAGCACTGCGACTTTACCCCCCAGTTGCCTCGGGCCTGGTTAGGACAGTGCCCCCTGGTGGTGAAAACGTTGCCGGTCGTTATGTTCCCGAAGGTGTAAGTAGCTGTTCCGAAATCTACAATCACTCGTGAATTTATTGCCAGGAAGAAACTTATATCAGCATAGACATTCGTCGAGGTCCAACAGTGGTCGATCAATCATAGCAAGGAAAACTGGAAAGACCCTTGGGAGTTCCGGCCTGAGCGGTTCTTAGATACTCCAGAGGAGGCTGCAAAAGCAGGCAATAAACTTGACTCGTTGCAGGCCTTCAGCGTGGGTCCGAGGAACTGCATTGGACGCAAGTATGGCTACCCTTGACTCCCTCGTCGATCATATTAACCAACATCTTTTCACACAAAGTCTCGCATATACCGAGATGCGTCTGATCTTAGCCCGCATCATCTTTGAATTCGACATGAAGCTTTCGGAAGACAGCCAGCGGTGGATTGAGCGGCAGAATACGTTCTTCCTTTGGGACAGGTTAGTCCACGGATCTATTTACATTTCTTCAAATTAAAAATCGCAATGTGTGAGAGAGAGAGAGAGAGAGCTATTGGCCCTAGCTATATATAGAGCTATTTCTAATATTGCCTGGGGTATATATAGGATTCCCCTGAACGTAACCCTAACACCAGTTAAACGGTAGCCTACACATACTACACCTTATATATAAAGCTATAGGGAGACAACACTCGGGTTGTGGTTCTCTAGGCGTAAGCAGACAAGTGCATATGTCACTTTGGGTATTTGTATGGGATGGTTATGGTTATGGGTGGTCCGGAATTCACGCCTTTTCACGTTTACCGCATCCATCATCGCAGCAATCAGCCACCATTTCTTATGTAGATATCTGCGTATAGAAGTATGGTCTTTTTAAATATAGTCAAATAGTGTAAAACTCCTCTTATAGCGACGTGATTATATTTGTAAGGGGGTTATAAATAAAACCGGATTAATAAATGAAAACCCCCCGTTTCTTAAGCCTCGACTGTTATCCTTTTCATATAGGTACATACCTACTACATAAGTTATTCGGCCCCTTCTACAAGCTCATACATCCACCAACCGGAAACGGGTTGGAGTGTATCTGGGCCCGTCTTGTCGCTAAGTTCGGGCCTCCCGGTTTTGAAGTATGAGGATTCCGACTCGAGTAGTTCCCCGCTACTAGAGACCGCCATTCCGATAGAACCAGCTACTAATCTCGTATTATGTATAACTCCATTGTCATTTACCGTAAGCGGGACCGAGGAGAAGGCGTCCGGTATATCAGACATGTCGATAATATGAAACAAAGTACCATCGAGATTACAACCGTATGTGTCTGGTGTATACGACTCAAAAGGAATCTGCGGTAAAGTGTACATGCATTCCCCGTCAACCTTCCAGAACGTAAAAGCAGTTATCCATCCCGAAAGATACTCGACGCCCGAGCCGCCTTGCCGGTCAGCTACCCTGGACCAGAAAGACAGCACCTCGGGACTGGTCGGCTCGTCAAATGAGCGAACAAAGTAGTCGAGGACCGCGGTCAAAAGGCGTGCGAAGTGTGCCGGCTCTTCTCCTAGTCGGGGCAAATACTCCAGACGACGCCGGATCTTAACCCAGTCCTCTCTCTCGCCGAGGAGAGTCACGGAGGGTATGCCGCAAGTTAGAAGAGAGAAATACTTGAAATACTTCTGCAGGGCGCCCATCATAAGAACCGCGGCCGTCACCGTGTCGGTGTGCGTCGTCGTAGTAAAGTCCGGCATGATCCACGCCGTCAAATCCGGATCGACGACGTTCTTTCTGATCTCGTCGGTCATTCGGATCGCCAGCTTGCCGAAGTCCACGCTGGTGATGGTTCCCACCTCGACGACCTCCAGCTCCTTCTGGCCCTCGTGCGCGACGAAGAACGGCCGCAGCTCCTCGGCGTGGGCGTTGATGTGCGTGCTTAGCTGGGCGATGATGGAAAACCAGACGTCTTCCGGGCGGATTTTCAGGTGGTAATGGTTGCTGTAGGCCTGGTAGACGGCCCGGACGAAGCCGTTGGAAGACGCGAAAACTTGGGCGTCTTCTGGGATTTGGATGGAGGACTGGACTAGTTGCTTGCAGCGGCGGTAGTCAGTTGGACAAGAGCCTTGCAGGAGTTCTGTGGGCGATGCCGCCGCATTGCTCTTTTTCCAAGCTCGAGCAGGATGGGCAGCGGTTCGAAGTGTGATAGGCATTTCGAGATTGAGGTTTAGGGGCAGTCTGATATGCTGTAGTTAGTTCTCGATGAATAGACTTATATTATATTATATATATAGGAATAATACTTAGCTGCCTATTGGTGGGTGGGGTGATTGAAGCTACGCCAATGCTGCGCTACTGCTTGGCTGTGTATCTTCATTGGATGTGAATACGCTGATGCCTTACGAGACGTAGTCAGATCTTTACTTCAAGCATTTTGTCAGCTCTATCTATATTTAGAGCTACTTGCTGAATAACTAATTTATATGGGAGCCTGTTAATACCTCCAGCCTGATCCCTCTAGACGATCTCCCTGGGGCTAGGTCGTATCAATATGCTCATTAGGTATTTGTTAGAGATGTCTGTTTCTATTTCACTCATCAGCACTTATACTGGGTGGAAACATGGTTGCTGGATTCTGTTTAGGGAGACGTGCTGCCGTTGTTTCTTGGGAGGGCCTCGCTCTATTTCTTTATATTATTTATTGAATAACTGCTACTAGCCGTCGCAGGTGAGGCTCTTATCCAGATACATTCGCAGTATCCCCCAAACCGGTTGTGAACACTACGAGTATTCCCCTATATTTCCCGAAGAAAGGTATATAAAGAGGATGAATGGAAGATAGATACTCTAATATTACGTACGAATGGAGGATACATGATAGAACACACGTAAAGGCGGTACATCGGCCTTCCACTGGAAATATGGATTCACATATCGTCGAGCCACTGATAAATTATTCATGTTAACTACATCGATTTCAAGAATGAAGATAAAATGCACTTGCTTCAAGAAAAATAATTTAGCATATAATATTTATAAAATAAACCGAAAATACCAGAATAGAAATACGCAACATGGGAAGAAGGAGGTTGGCGGTAGGTAGTAATAAAAACAAAAGCAAAAAAGAAAGTACAAAAAAGGGAAAAATAATTGCAAAAAAAGCTCGGCCTGTGTGTTGAACACAGGACCTACGAAAAACTACTTTGTAAATGTCGTACTGTCAAGTCACGGGCATACTGGTCCAGCATATGACACCACGGTGCAGTTTTCTCTAGCCTCCAGTCACCCAGGGATACTTCCTTTTTGCGGGGTCGGCTGAACGTTTGCAGTTTATTTAGATATATATGTCTTGTTTCCTAAGTAGGTACGTATTTGCGGAGGTACATCTCGTTGCCCTTGGTGAGAGGCCTTACAAGTGTGCTGCATATCTTCAGGTGTCAGGTGGAGTGCCAAAGTTGCGAATAGCCTCTGCGAGGCTGCAACTTACGGTAGCTTAATAGGCACCTACCTACCCAAGGTACTTTAGTGCCCGGACCAACCAGCCCCTTTTCGAAACTCTGCATTGTAGAGTTTGCTGTTTTACGTCTTCTGGTCCCTACCCCTTTAATCATATGGAATGGACATGATGTCGTTTGGTAAGATATTGATAACTTGCATTTATTGCCTTCATTGTATTATGTTACCTATCTGACGGACCAGTGCAAACTTGCAACTGCTTGACGTTAACAAATATTTATTTATTAATATCCTAAAGCCACAGCATCCTTAACTGTCCCCGTCTCGTATCGATATGTAATTTAAGAAGTCACTATGAACTTCAGGCTCGTAGCAATGTGATCAGGTCCGTTAAAAGAAGCGTGTTGTAGGGATAGTTGTCATGGCTGTCAGTCCGCTCTGCAAGGCTGACAAGGTGACAGCTATGATTTCTTCTATTTGGTTCATGAAGTTTAATACATAAAATTACGCCCGCCCATTTTACGTAGCTACGCACAAATCATAAAGCTCGAAGAACTAGGTTATACCTTTTGCTACCTTCTAACTTACTTTAGTCCTAATGATATTTGACTATGCTTATAGATGAGTTGTACTCTTGCCCTTCAGTTCAGTAGGTAGGAACCTTGAAATGACTGTAATGATGTTCCATTATGGTTAATTCAAAGGCCTGGGCAAGGTATAAATTATAATTGTACACTTAAGAGTAGTAAGGTTGGAACTCGGAAATGTACTACTGCATTAACTGATTGAGAAATTTGCCTACTGAGATTCTTGGAACTTTGAGGGCATCAAGTCATTCTCCGAAAACTTCAATATAACGTATAAGTCGGAGACCCGAAAAGGCCTGGTGATAAAACGGACGGAGAGGACGGCGGAGGAGCACCGGGACCTGCCGATCTCACCCCGGGCTCGGAGACACACCCCGGCTATCCTCACTCAGCCTCGTGCATGAGATGTCGAGGGCCACGAGGTGAAGATACGAGATCTGATTGGACAAAAATGTTAATGGGAAAGAGGAGAAGAAAAAAAGTAGCTGCGATGTACGGAATAAAGTGGATCGATCGCTCAGTTGTGGGGCTAAGCTGCAGCCCGTTCCCGAACAACTGAAATCCAAGGTATCCGGTACTCTGTACGTGTGCCAGGATTCGCTCGGGGGGTATAAATCCGCCACGACTATATGATCGTGAAGAGGTTCGTCTGAACGTGATGCGACTCGGCTTTCCCTTTCAAGTTTTAAATCACGCGGCAAGTATTTTTTTTTTCCGCTGACATTTATGATATATATGTAGGTAGACATGTCAAGCTTAGTTTATTCAGGTACATGGTAACTACCAACCTAGTGAAGTATCCCAAGTACCTAGGTTAATGCGGTACAATGAAGTTGCTTCTCCGGGTGCTAGTGCCCCGCTAGAATGGATGAGAAAGTTGTGTCCGCCCCGACTTCCCTCTAAAAACATACTACTATGTACTTACCTAGGTTAGGTAAATAGGTATGTATTGTACTCTACCACTAAAATACTTGGTTTAAAAGACGACCCCTCTAAAAGCTTGTCTGTTATCAATCTAACCTAGAAGCTGGCATCAAAGGCCACTCGACGGGGCTCAACAAGCTCGTTAACTCATTAGCTCATTAGCTCATTAGCTCATTAGCTCATTAGCTCATTAGCTCATTACGTATAAGATACAGCACTCGCTAAGCTCAAAACAATGACTTCAGACTCTCGATCCACATTCGGATGACCCGTACGAACGATATCGTACATATGTCTGTACGTGAATGTAGCCCGAATAGTTCGCATAGTCTGCATACCTATCTGCAAGCTGCAAGGTTACAAGGCTACAAGGTTGTTAGGTGTCTGGGAGCTAGGAAATAGTCAACACTAGATTCTCGGCGCTCGAGGACCTACGGATTTACGGATTTGACGTCGTGAAGTTATTCGACTGGTGAGAAATTCTCCATTTTTCCTATAAGGTACCTTTCCTACCTTTCCTACCTTTTCCTTACCTACCCCTACCCCTCCACGGGAGTCACCATCGCCATATTAAAAGTCTGGGGCGCGTCCTCATAACAACTCTCCTGCGTCACATCCGTCTTCACATCCGTCTTCGTCAAACCTATCAGAGCCTATCAGAGCCTATCAGAGCCTATCAGATACTTCGCTCTTCTTGTTACCTGTTACCTGCTACACACACCAGCTCCCAGCTCCCAGCTCCCAGCCCCCAGCCCTCTCATCGGGATCACCAGCCGCTTCATGCAGAGGACAACCACTACATTCCACCCCGTCTGACCCCCACCTCTCAGTCACTGGATCTAGTACCCAACATCTCGGCCTGCCTATAAGCCGTCTTACCAAACGCCTCGAACTACTTGAAGCTCTGACTCTAGTGCCGAGTCGTTGTTGTATGACCGACCAGATCGTGAGCGTGACCTCCCCCCCTATCAGTAACTTGCTGAACCTTGGATCGTGTAAATTCAGATCCGCTTGGAAGGCATAGTGCAGCACACCGGCTACATTTATTAGGTCCGAGGCCTTCGTTATTATTACATCAATCTAGCCTAACCCTAGGCTCTTCTATGCAGCATCCCGAAGTAGTGGCTGATACCCAGAAGCAGTAGGTCGGGCGGGAATCCTACCCATGAGCTCACGCCCTACTGGAACGCGCCCCTCTCCTTGAGTTGCCACATACCCGGAGCTTTGGTCCGTCTGGTCCTACTTTATCCCTGACTATTAACTTCGTTCTTCCGTTTGTCTCCCTTAGCCCCTTGATATCCCCAGGGCCGACAATTATATGACTCGGGATATACGTCTTTGCGACCCTTTAGCTCTTCATATCTACGTCAACCCTACCGTGCCGCCAATCCACGCCTCTGCCTTAGTTCCCCTGACACAACCGCTTCCCTGCATTTGGTTACACGCGGGAAATAGCCGTTTAAGTCATCTTTATTGAAACACGCTTTTACTGCCAGCCTTGAGGCATCTATCCAAGTAAACAGCCTTCGCAGGCTGGTTGCAGGCGCCTCTGCCGCACCATGTAAGTCTTACTCGTTGGTTGCGGATTACCTTATCATTCCTTTGCCTACTGCTCTACTCTAGGATATTGCCCCCTGCGTCGGCAGGGGTTACTAATGCCTCTTCAGGAAGTTCGGTAAGCAAATCCAGAAGCGTCAGCTTGAAGTGCCAGAATATGCTGCTAGCTTCGTGAATTACAAGGCGCTCAAAAAGGTACGTTAACTATTGCTCTACTTTCTATATCCTAGTCAATGGTGTATCCTCTCCCCGGACTTTAAGAGATCTAGGTCCACGTGGATCAGGAAACAGCATAGCTTCCCTTTGTACCATCTTATATGAAACTTATGGTTCGGAAAGTGGGATTGTTTCACTGACGCCAGCCAATAGCTCATCAAGAAGCTTTCTGCCACCCCGACGCTGAGCGCTCAAAATGACCCTCGCTTTACTCCCACGCCGGTGGACACCCAAGCTGCCTTGCAGGCAAACAAAGCAAAGTTCTTTTTTCAACTGGTAAACTCTAATCTCCCATTGATGAATGCGTACTCGTGGGCGGCGCTCATAGGTATCTTACAGGAACGAGAGCTTGAGAAGGTCAATGCATTTTACCTTCAGAAGGAAGCCGAAGTAAGTATAGCTTCTGCTACCCCATATTCTACACTTGGGCCCCTTATTGACACTAACCAAGCTGAAAATACGTCTCAAAACGTTGCTGGACAAGAAGAGAGTTCTGCAGTCTCGCCAGGGCGTGTCTAGACGGTCAGCCAAATTCACGACGTTGGAAGAAGGGTTCCAACAATTTGCAAATGATTTGAATAAGCTTCAGCAATTTGTCGAAATAAACGGGACCGCCTTCTCGAAGATCCTCAAAAAATGGGATAAGACCTCCAAGTCTAAGACTAAGGAACTATATCTCTCCCGCGCTGTAGAGGTGCAACCGTTCTTCAATGCCCCGGTCATCAGCGAACTCTCGGACCAAGCCACAACCAGCTTACAGGAGCTCGGGGCGTGGTCAGATGGGGATAATGTCTCGTTTGACGCTCGATCTGAACACATGGTGAGTAGCCAACACCTCCTCGGAACGGATGAAGGCGACGCAGATAGCCTATTACTCGACACAGCAATTAGTGGCAACCTAGAGTCTTTAAGAGACTTGCTATCAAGAATGAGAGCTGGTTCCAGTTCGCCACCAGGGAAGGACATCTCCTTGATGGAAAGAGTAACACGTACCTTTCTCGCTGCTATTCACGAGGCGCCACAGGCTTCTCTTGAAGTCCTACTAGAGACCGGGCTCGTCGACGTTCGATCTGAAGATGACATTAACGAGCGAAACTGTCTCCACCAGGCCACCATCTACGGGAATTCGTTTGTCTTAGACGTCGGTCTCGCGGGAGGGGTCGAGGTTAACAGAACTGACGTGTATGGGCGTGTACCGCTTCATTATGCAAGCATGCATGGGCGGTTGGACATGCTTGAGCAGCTTCTTCGAGGTAAGGACAGGTTAAACACTTGGTTATTTCATGTTGTGCTGAACCTAGTGCGTAGCCGACCCGACGACAATCGATCTTATAGATCACGACAATTTTACTCCGTTAATCCACGCCATCATCCATGGTCACCTTACATGCGTGCAACGGCTTCTCGAAACCTCCTCCCGTCTAGATCCGAAGTCAGAAACGGACCATATACCACTTAACCTCGCCTGCGAGCATGGGTCGCTCGATATAGTCGAGCTCCTCCTAGAGCATGGCGCCCAAATACTTCCTGATGCTGAAGGCTTGTACCCACAACATCTCGTAGCTCGGTCGGGACAGACACCTCAACTACTCAGATTGCTGCAGAACTATGGTGCAGACTTGGATCAAGTCGATAAACTCTACGGCTGGACCCCGCTGGTGCATGCGGCGAGCGAAGGGAATGTGCCTTGCTTAGAGGAGCTTCTGAATGTGGGCGTCGACCCAAATATCGTCGACGAGAAAGACTTGCCTGCAATGTACTATGCGGCATGGGAAGGTCATCTGGAATGCATACAGAAGCTCACACCGTATCAAAGAGGCAAAGCAGAAAGTCCCCTGATGATGCAAACGGCCGGTTCTCTTCTTGCCCCTATGGGGAGTGGAAATAGTCCTATCCCTATGTCGCTCGATGCCGATGCTATCCCCATCCTTGAACTTCCGCCACCTATCATACCCCTGAGACGCTACGGTCATAACTTCCTCGACACGAAGGCAGTGATTCAAATCAGCTTCCAGGAAGAAGGAGACCACCCATTAGTGTTCTTCCACGACAGCAAATACCCAGCCGCGCGACTAACCATCTCTTCCAAAGCATCAGACCTCATTCCTAAGAATATCATATTACCCTTCCAAGAAGACACCCGACTCGTATCTTTCCAGGTCGACAATCTCGACACCTTCACCCTCGATTTTGACGTTTTCCCTACCTATGGCGCGAAAGTAATTGCAAAGACGGTTGCTCTCCCAAATACGTTTCGGGCTTCCTGGAGCAGCTCGGGAAAATGCTGCCTCCCGTTGTTTGACCCCAGACTCCGGGCTATTGGCCAGATCATATTCAATACCCAAGTAATCAAGCCCTTCCAAGGCACTCCGTTGGAGATAACAGATTTCGAGACTTATTGGAAGGCTACGAGTCAGCTGGACCAGAACCCGAATATGTTTGTCACCGGTTCGAGCTTATCTGGCGACTTTGTTCAGTTATACGTTCAACATACTAGCGATGGCATCCCCGTTGTGTGGCCACAGTGGATGATACAATGCGGCGGCATTGACGTATCAATCTCGCGACTATCATACGAGCAATTCTCTACGGTTACGGCCTCGAATTTTGGTCGAACTCAACTTCATCTGATACCTTCGCACGGCCTTAATAACATTGCCGAGGTTCATCGAGCTCTCAACACGGCAGGAGTTTCTTTGGAGCAAGCCCTCTCCCTGCTTCCTAATTCGATGCATGTAAATCTGCAGATTATCTACCCGTCAGAAGAGGAGGAGAGAAGGCTCGGACTAGGGCCGACTATGAACGTAAACAGCTTTGTAGATTCCATACTAACCATAGTTTTTGACCACGCGAGGGGACAACGAGCGCAGACGATGTCGGCTCCCGACTCTGTCAGGTCGGTGGTGTTCAGCTCTTATAACCCGACGATCTGTACAACATTGAACTGGAAACAACCCAACTTCCCCGTTTTCCTATGCAACGACCTCGGGCGGGAAGACGTTATGCCTTCGCCGAGCATGATCCAGAGTAGCGGACGGAGGACATTTTCAGTTAAGGAGACAGTGAGGATAGCGCAGGGTAACAACTTCATGGGGCTCGTTTGCTGCTCCCGACTACTGGTGAGTTGTATTAAAGCGAAAGCTAGTTGCGCATGTAGTATACTGATATGGAATCAAAACTAGAACATGGTCCCCGCGCTCGTCGACGCGATAAAGTCGCATGGATTGGCGTTGGTCGTAGACAAATCAGCCGAGGAGGCTACAGAGCCGTACGCGCATGCGGATGCATTCCCCGTTCCGAAGGGCGTCGATGGTATACTGAAGGGGAATGGGGTCTTGAGATTTAACGAGTCTATAGATGTATAGACAAAAACTGCGGTTTGGCGTACTTGGTTTTTATAAGGATGGGCTGCAGAGCTTGGCTTATGCGAAGACCAGGTCCTTAAGTCCTTAGCACTGGCTTTGATGACTTGCGCGAAAAACTATGAAAAAATATTTGCCTTATAACTTTGCTTTTGTGATCTACTACAGTGATGTTATTAAGCCCCCTTGTAGTCGTACCGCAGCGCACTTAGATCCCTCTCCGGGTCCACGCTGCCCATGACCATCTTGGCGATTATCACGACCCCGTAAACGACGGCGGGTAAGTTGCTCAGCCCGACGTGACCCCATTGCTGCTGCCCGTCCGCAGAGGCACCCGGTTTCGACACGAGCCCGGCGAGTACCAGGACCGCGCAAATAGCTATGTTCAGATACGGCAGATACGCCGCCAGCGGCGAGTCGCGACGCTCTTCCGCCCAGAAAGGCGCGTGGGCAGCCTTGGATCGGCCGGGTCCATCCCCCAACTGCCTCCTGCTACTACTACTCTCGCCACCGGTACCGCCAACCCACCCGTCGACCGCGCGTATCCCGGTGACCCCGGGCGGCAGCGCCCATAGCATCCAGGCGGTAGCGGCGAGGCTGGTCAGGCTGAGGAGGGCGCGGGTGCGGTCGGTTCCGGTTGCGGTTCCGGAGGGTTGGGGTTGGGTTAGGGCGAGGAGATACGGGACTGCGGATGCGAGGGGCAGGGCGAGGAGCAGGAGACGGAATTGTGCGTTGCGGGTGTCGTTTTGGCGCGCGAGGGATTGGATTAGGGCTTCTTGTTCTTGCTCGTCGAGGGCGGTCGGGGAGTCGGAGTCGGAGTTGGAGTTTGAATCGGAGGCGTGGGTGAAGGGGCGGCGGGTGCGGAGGGATTGCATGGCTGGATTTGGGTTTGGGGTGTTTGGTGGTGAGGCTTCTTTGGTGGTTGGTTGGTTGGTTGGTTAGTTGGTTGTGGTGTTTTATATTTGGATATTCATCTTGAGGTTGTGGCGTATTTATTTATGTGTGCTTGAGACGGGATCAGACGGATGTTTAATGTTTAAGCTATGGCGTGGATGGAAGGATTAGATGTACACAGCCTTGAGGCTTGTGATAGCTCAAAGGTTAGGATGAGTTGAGAAAGTTAGAAGTGACGTAAGGTCCACTGTATTGTACAATACCTATGTACGTAAGGTTGGGTTGCAGCTGGCAAGCTATTAGCCACTCTGCTGCTTAATCTAATCTAATCTAATCCAATGCCCCGTGATTATGGCTTGTGCGCTCAATTGTGGCTTGCGCTAATACCCCCTGAAAGTGATGGAGGTTCATGTATGTACATTTGTATATTTTAAACACCTTAAAGGCATCTATCATATTACATATCATACCAACCTAAGGCTTATAACCCGAATCCTGAGCATTTTGAATGCTAAAATCTTAGATCCAAGCGCAAGCTTCCAACGTACTTAACTTAAGAAGTAAACCTAAGTAGAATAGGGGGAGCAGGGGATCGTCGTCGTTTCGCATTAGACCTGAAATCAACACTGATACAGCGTTGCCATCCATTCTGATACAATATAATACACAATATCTACGCCGTCGGGAACGACTTGAAGTTCCCATTATTATCGTATTTCGCCTCTGCAAATAAACATATTAGCCAAACACACTATCACCACCACCACCACCACCACCATACAAGATCTCTCTCATATCATGAAAGATAGAAAAGAAATGAGAAAAGAGATTTAAAAAAAAAAAAACCTACTGAAAAACGTATAGCTCAGCGTAACCTCGCTAATCCCGCGCATATTCAAATCACTCAGCATGTCCGGATCCAGGTAAAAGAACACGGGCATATCGACCGTCTCCCCCGCATTCAACCGCTGCTCCTCGAAGCAGAAGCACTGGATCTTGCTGAAGTACGGCGCCACCTGCGCGGGCGTGACGCTGTACGTCGCCACGCCGATGATGTCGCTGTCGCTGCGGTTCGTCGCCGTGTAGAACGCCAGCGCCGTCTCTCCGGGCAGTACGCGCACCTCCCGCTGCTGGGGCACGAATTTCCACGGCAGGACGTCCGACACCGAGGCGTTGAATGTGACTCGGATGCGCCGCGCGTCGGTTACGGGGATCAGTCGCGACGCCGGGTCGAAGTCTGCGTCGTCGCTCGAGGCGCCATGGCCGGGTGCGCGGATGGGCTGGCCGCCCCAGCCGGTTGTCTGGCAGATCTGGTCCGGTGAGTTAGTCGCCTCGTACATACGCTTCCATTGCACACCACACCACACCACGCCGCGCCGCGCCGCGTAAGAGAAGCAAAGTATCCTAACCCACCATCTTATACATCGGCACGGAGCCGTACGAAAACGCAACGGTGCCGAGTATGATGCTAAGCGTGTAATACCTATAACACCACTAAGCCTCGTCTTCCCTCTCACGTTCACTTGCCCGCAAGAGCAATTGGGATTATGTTAGGTAGGTAGGTAGGTATATACATAGTCGTGCGATTCTTATATCTGTAGTACTCGCGCATGCGTTCCATCGACGGCATCCCGGCGCCGGGGCTAGGACCGGAGGCGGCAGCAGGAGTCTGCTGTTTCCTTGCTGAGGAATTCGCCACGCTCCGGCGGGGAGACGATCGGACAAGGGCGCGGCGGCACGATGCGCATGCCCATTGCGAAGCTGACGATGATGTGCTGGCTCTTAGCGCCCGCCATGAGTTCTGAGAGAGGCCGTTCATTCTGGCGGATGGAAGAGTTGGCAAGTAAAGCTCTTCGAGAAATCATATCATCGTATCGTATCGTATCATGTTGTGGGGTCGACAACGGGTCGACGTCAAAACGCTCTGCTGCTAGGAATTTTAGGTGGGTCCGGTAAGCTTTACAGGGTTTCATTAGCGGCTTACTTGCTGTAACTCTGCAGTGCTAGGGTGTGCACTTTTCCAAAAAGAAACATGTGATTCGTCTAGATTATGTACCTATGTAAAGTTGAATCGGGTACTAAATAAAGTACTTGCAATAAAGTACTTGCATCAAGGTAAGGTAACCACTTACACATGGTTATAAGCTTTGTAATTATATAGCTAGTTAATTTACAATAACAATCTTGTTCAAAAGTCTACCTAATCTATGCCATTTTCCTGTTTACCAATCTAATTATTGGTGCCTTGAGCATTCCATTTCCTATACCGTTTCCTTGTGTTGATACCTTCTTCCTAGTCCTGCCGAACACCATCTCCAATACATCTACAACAAATACCTGAATCAACAAGATTATAACTCTTACAAACAAGTCCAATATACCTAACCTAGGCTGCTTTCCACGACTGTAGGTCGAGTCTATAAACTGGAAAGGCAATTTGGCTCCGAGATGAGCCTGGGCTACGTACAGCCCGCTGCTGAACCCATCTTCGTGAAAACCGTACTTGGTCCATGCGCCGGCGTAGCTGATTCCTCTCGTATTCTGTATGATCGGTAAGGCTTGCTGCGCCCGGATCGCTGCAGGATTATACAGCGGGTGTGAGTATGAATATCGACCTTGCACGGTCTCAGGCTTCGGTTCTTGGATGGGATTCAACGTCACCAGGACATCGCCAAAAGGTTGCCTCGGAATATGTTGTAGTATATTCATGTTATAAGTCAACGACACTTTATCAATGTCTTTGTTCGTCCAGGGTGATGACACCGCGAGATAATTCCAAGCGGACCAGGAATTCTGGCGCCTCGGCATGTGGGAAAGATCTGAGTGGAGTACGCAGGTATTATCCGAGGTTTGAAACGAGGACATGATGGCCCGCTCCTTTGCAGTTGACGAAGGCTTAATGATCTGGTATGCCTGGTCCCCATGTGTCGCCAATATGACGTGATCGTATACTTCCGTTTTGCCATTTTCCAAGTGTAGCTTCACACGTCCATCTTTGTCGTTGCTAAGATATTTGACTGTAGTTTTGAGAAATAGATGGTTTGGTGGGAACCCTTTCATCACAGCATTAACGTACGATTTAGCGCCGTTCTCTACTGTAAGCCAGTCTGGTCTCCTTGAAAATGTACTTAGGAGATGATGATTCCACCTGGACGAAAATTAGTCTTCATACTCTCTAGTCGCTTTTATTCATCCAACTTACATAAAACGTACGAGCGTCGCAGCCGGAAACTCCAAGGTGCACTTATCAGGACTCGTACTCCATACAGCGGCCGTCATGGGGATTAGGTAGTCATTGCGAAACGCTTCAGAGTACCCCTTTCTATCCAAATACTCTCCAATAGTCTCCATAGGCGCAGCCGAGGTTTCGGTATTTAGACAGTCATTATCGTCATCCCTCAATAAATCGAGCGCAAATTTATTAAAACGGATGATATCAAAAACGAGTCTCCACATCCGTAGGGAGAAAAGGTTCTTCCTCTGACAAAATAGGGAATCTAAACTCGTCCCTGCCCACTCAAATTTCCCACGATCCCTTGAAACGCCAAAGGTCATCTGAGTGGGCACGGTCTTAACCTTGACATAGTTGAGGAAGTTGATGAAGTTTGCTATGAATGATTAGTATTAGTATATCTGCTTATTCGGAGATTCGCTGTTTACTAACGGTATGTTGCTTCGTTGAGGACGATGAAACCTGTGTCGACCAAGGTGGTGAATTTGCCCTTCTTCCACTCTACCGTATTGGTATGGCCACCCAGGCGGTCAGCCGCCTCGTAGATATAAACATCATGGTGCGTACGATTCAAAGCCCACAGAGCACCAATACCAGCAGAGCCGCTGCCAACGATGGCGACCTTCTTTCTGGGCACCCAGTTAGCCGGCGATGTCATCGATTTCTATACGATAAAAGAAGACGAAAGTTGAAAGTTGAAAGTTGAAAGCTGAGAGTGCTGTAATAGTTTGGGCACCAAAAGGTTCATAGAAGGATGAATAATGAATAGTTATGTATATGAAAGAAGCAAGATTCAAAATCGAAGCATGTGATAGAGCATTAGGAAATATGGACATGAACTCGGAGGAATAGAAGGAAGCTAACTATGCAGGTAGACTCGGTATGCAGCCATACAGAGCGGTCCAAGTTTCGATAGTCATGCCAGATCGGCAAAGTCGTGGCTGCAAAACAAGAAAAGGCGATTGGAATGATTGGAATGGAAGTTTTGGGAGGAAGTAATGAAGTAATAAGGCAGTTATGTACTAGTAGAATTAATATAGAAGCGGGAACTGCCCCAATTCTACATTAGAATGTACTTTCCACATGCAACATGCAGCAACATGCAGCAACATGTAGGTACCTACTTACATTCCCATAATGTCAATTTTCAAATGTCAAGAGCGAATAGAGAAAGTAAGGCGCGCTAGGACTTATTCAGGAGTTATGAGTTTTATGAGTTGTAGATGATTTATTAGTCGACCGTTGTTGCCGAGATGAACGTATGAGAAAAATAGGAGAGGGCCCAGTTCTTATTTTATTTCTTATCTTATTTCATCTCATATCACGAAGTTACCTCTTGAAACCATTTAGAGGTTAATGAACAAGGGTTTTACCACTGCCCTACGTATTTTCTGAGACAGCTCCGACGCATTGACTTACGACTTGCACAAATATGTACAATAACTAACTAATACCGGATAATTTATTTAGTATCCGTCCGAGCCATGGCACCATTGAAAACAACCGATCCAATGCAGTAGGTTACCTAATTGAGATAGTATAGGTATCGAGGCCATATCACCGAATCTTCGTAGCACTCGCATCAAGAAACAAGTCATCATATATATCACCGAGGTTTATAGATTATTCAAATATCAGCTTTGCAGCCCAAAGCCAGACCCCATGTTTTAGTATAGTATCTTTAAACCCGCAGCGTAGGCGATACGCACAAACACAAAACAACACATGCCGTCCGATCAAAAAATGTCGAGGCTCAACGGGATCGAGTACTCAGAGGCGGCAGTCCGAAGACAATCCGTCTAATGCCCAATTCTTAGAAGCTCCATGTTTAGTCTGCCCGGCTAATACAACTCTACGTCCGTCGTAAAATAGGACGCAGAGCCTAATATATTTCTGCTTTCCGGGGGTTCAACTTTCATGGAGAAGAAAAAGAAAAAGGAAAAGAAGAAAGGCAACGGATGCCCAAAAATGATTAAAATATTTTCTTTCAAGACGGTGAGTCCCCACTTCTTGTGGCTATGTACATACATACCTAGGTTAGGTAGGTAGATGGCTAACCTAGGTAGGTAACCTAGATGGCTGAATATGTGGCTGAACATGCAAGGGAAACCCACTTGGATCCACATGGTCTGGACCGCATTGACGGATCTGGGAAGTTGTAAGAAGCCGTTCCTGGGTTACGCAACCGACCCAGTCTCTCCTGCAACCTTCATATGTAATCTGTAATCTATTATCTACAGTCAGCCAACCACGCCAACCATCCGAGTCTAGTAAGCAGACATAGACATATACATTGACATATACATTTATCCTAATTCCGCTACATCTCGTCGAACCACCGTCCTCTCCGTGAGAGCCTCCCTGACAACCGACGCAATCAACTACTAAACCACAACCAAACACCCACCCACCTTACCCATCATGGCCAACCCGCTCGACACCGACGCCGGCTCCGAGCTGTTCAGCAGCTACGAAGCCGAATTCAAACTGGTCCAGGCCGACCTAACCCAAAAGCTCGACCAGATCCCCGAACTAAACGGCGAGCCGCGCAAAGCCGCTATCGCCGCCGCCGAGCGTGCCCTCGAAGAAGCCGACGAACTGGTAATCCATCCATCCGTCCATCTATATTCTCTCCCCTCTCTCCTCCCTATTTGCAGCTAACATACGTACCCCCCCTCCCCCCACCAGCTCGGACAAATGCGTCTCGAAAAGCAAAACATCCCCTCCTCGACGCGCCCCAAGATAAACCAGCGCTTCCGCAACCTCGAAACCGACGTGGACGGCTACAAGCGCAAGCTGCGCACCCTCTCCGACGACCGCGCCGCCCTCTTCGGCTCCCGCTACACGGACAACCCCAACGCGAGCCCCTCCGACCTGCAGCTCGAGCAGCGCCAGCAGCTGCTCAGCGGCACCGACCGCCTCGACCGCAGCTCCCAGCGCCTGCGCGCCAGCCAGGCCCTCGCCCACGACACCGAGCAGATCGGCGCCGGCACCCTCGCCGACCTGCACCAGCAGCGCGAGCGCATCGCGCATACCTCCCAGATCCTGTACGAGAGCGAGGGCTATGTCGATCGCAGCGTTAAGACGCTGAGGGGTATGGCTCGTAGGTAATTACGTTTTGCCCTTCCCCCTTCCCCCTTTCCTCTCCTTTCTGCTTTTCTGGGACTTGTTGACGGCAGTGGGGAGTGCCGTTGTGCTGGAGGATATATAGGTATACATATATAACATGGGGCTAACGAAGAGACTTGCGCAGGATGGCTACGAATCGGGTAATCACCATTGCTATCATCGCCGTCCTCGTGATCTTGATCTTCGCTGTGATCTACAGCAAGTTTAGGTGAAGAGGGGAGTATTATATCCGTCTGACGGCGTGACCGGTTAGGAGTCAGTCAGTCAGTCAGCCAGCCAGGGATAGAAACACCATGTATAAAAAAGATACATATACCACTCGCGAACGCGCAAGCAGTCTCGAGCAAGGAAGAAAGAGTTAACCACCAACACGGCGTCTGGAGCGTAAACAGGGAGGGCCCTTACGGAAACATTGGAACAATTCTCACTGTCGTTTTTCTCGTACATATTTCCCCTCGAGATATTGATTGATTGTCGTTGTCGTTGTCGTTGTTGTTTATCGCTGTATTGTGATGATATCGAAATTTTCGAGAGCTTTTTATTTGACGAAATTAGGTGTCTGTTGTTGAAATGGGTTAATACCACAGACGATGATGTATCACCGTTGTCCTATTCATTATCGGCACTGCAAGAAGAAATGGAACGAAATGAAGTATATTTTTCCCGACCCGTGTAAACCTATTGCGCCGCAACCCGTTCAGGAAATTGGTGAATAAACACGCTACTTGTAGACATATAAGATATCTACACAAAGCAGCAGCAGCAGCAGCAGCAGTAGGCAGGTAAGTATGTGCTGCAAGCGGGTATCAAACACGGTTTAGATTTAGAACCTGCTGTAGACCGTTTATCTCCTACCGGGAGACTTGGGCTTCCCAACCTTCCTCGCGAACGCCGGGCCATGCCTCTTCTCCTGTCCGAGACCCCGTCTACCCGCCGCAATACCACCCCTCCCACTCCTGCCGCCGCTGTCACGCATTCCACCACCACCACCACCGCGTGGAGGTCGGCCGCCCCGGAAATCGGCGCCGCCTCCGCCTCCTCTACCGCCGCCCCTGCCACCACCGCGGCTAATCTGCGTCTTGATAGTCGACACGTCCTTCTCATCGACATCCATCTCGTCGTCGTCATCACCGTCTTTACCTCGTTTATTCGAGAACTTCAGCCGTCCGCCGCGACCTCTGCGCCCAGCATCCTTGCTCTTGAGCGCCGCGACGTATGCCCCGACGCCGGACTCTTCGGCGCCATGTTTGGGGGTGTCGATGACCATGGCATCGTCGCCGCCGTCCTCTTCGCCGAGGATCAGCTTACCGTCTAGATCAGTCTTGGCCTTGGTCCTGCCCGCCTTGCGCAGCTTACTAGGCTTCGTAGATGAGATGCTGGCGAGCGCCTTGCGGTCCAGGAGATCCAGGGGCTCGTCCTCGTCTTCCATAATATATGTAGAGCCGCCCTTCTGTGCCTTGCGTGGTTTTCCGAGGACTTCGGCGTCGGAGTCGTCGGAAGCGTCTGACTCTTCGCTGCTGTACAGCGCTTCGTCGTACTCGCTTTCGAATCGGTTCCGTCGCTTTCCATTCTGCTGCTGGTCATCTTCATCGTCACCTTCTTCCTTAGCGGCGTCCTTCCGTCTCTTGCTGCGCTCCTTGGTCTTGCGGATGTTGGCTATCAACTTGCGATCCGCTTCGGGGCAGTTGCGGTTGACGGCATCGAAGCCAAAACGACGCACCATTCGTTCTATGATATGCTTTACCTTCGCTCTGAAGTGACCCTTGTGCTCGTGTGCCCAGACCATCAAGTTCGGAACCATAGTCGGTAGACGTGGGGCCATCATCTCCATCGGCAAGCTAATGATACACACTTTTACGAATCCCAGAACGCTCTTAACAATCTCTCGATTGTTAGAGGTTAAGAAGAGATCCATAGTTTGCACAAGGTCATTCAGCACATCCTTGTTGACGCTCTCTCGGAACTCGTAGAGGATACGAGTAAGAGCGGTAATGGAAGCAGATATCATGTGAGGCGTGCTACCCGCAAGTCCAGCGCTGACCATGGTGAAGTACTCCTCGATGCTTGCAGAAACGGCCGGGGCATTCTTGGGCATATGAGGGACCTTGCTGTTGTCGATCGACTTGCCCTCCGCTTCTGCTAACGTTCGTCCCATAAGAACAAGAAGTTCAAAGGCCGACGTCCGGGCCTTTTCGTTATTCTCCTTACAGCAAATAACCACCTCAGATAACACCGAAGGAATAAAATGGAGTGATGTGTCGGGGATGAATGGCATCAAGGCATTGATTGCCGCTAACCGCTCTCTTCGTGCAGGAACCGAGACTGTTTCTGCACTCGACAAGATCAATTCTTGAAGTTCTGTGCTTCGCTCCTGAAGTGCTACCTTGCCAATGTCCGACTCGGCGAGTCGTGGGATCAGCTTGTAGGCTTTCTTCTGTAGTTGAGGGTCGTCATCCCTGACAATGATGAGAGAAGCAATATTGAAGAGAGGACTAAAGCTTTGGCGAGGAAGATAAATAGACATAGTAATCACCAAGTCCATCAACGTTTGGGCTGTGGAAGGCATCGGATCCTTTGACTTTTGGCTCTTTTCTTTACTCACCCCGACCCCAGCTTCGCTCAACGAAGAGGCCAACATCGTGCTCACACGATCAAACGTCTCAACGAGTCCCTTCTCGGGGGTGATACTCAAATAGGCATTGATAGTCTGGAGTATAGGACCTCTGGACTGAGGAAGTGTTTGGCTGTATACGTTAAAAAGGACTGCTAGAAGATTGCCTGCAAAACTTCCGAGGTAGGTCAGGTTCTTCTGTGCATCCTCTTTAGAAACTCGGCTTCTGAGAATCAAATCATCCTCACTCTCGACCGAAACCACGGCTTGATTAGACTCGACTAGGGCCTTGAGGGCTCGACAGACATCGAGTCTGAGATCGACTTTCTGGTATAGGAGGTTGGCAAGTATCTCAGCAAATGCCTGGTCAAACGCCACTGTCAAATCAAGAGGCAGGTTACAGTAGCCGGGCAAGATAGACCAGGTCTGGTGTACTATGGTCTCAAAGATCTTGGTCTCCATAGTCTTGGCATCTCCGTTTTCCACGACGCGCTGAAACATTGCCTCGCTTAGCGGGATGAATTCTGTCTTGAAATGTTGAAGATTAGTGTTGGCGGTGAAGTCTCGGAGGATTGGCAGCATCCAAGCTCTACCGGGTTGACCTGCAACTGGCTTGACGAGATTTAGAGGGAGGACATTGAGAACAGCTTCGGGGCCCATTGCCAGGATTGCCTTTCCAATCACTTCATCTGCCTCTTTTTTACCCATGAAAGAGTTGTTTCCGCGAAGCTCGCCAACCGTTCGCACGACATTTAGCATCATAGGGTTGGCGCGCCACCTAAGCGCATCAAAAATAGCACTTAATACGTTGAATGATTCCATCCAGGCCGCTTGGTATTTGACGGTTAAGAGGTTCTCGGCAATCTTAGCTATCTTCTCAAGGATCTTCTCGTCGTAGATCGAAGGTTCGATTATAACTTGGTCCGGGACACAATTCACCATAAATGAGACTAAGCATTCCGAGGCAGAAACCCTTATGTTATGCGAAGAGGACTCCATAAATTCGGATACCATCGTAAAGAGGTCCGGAAGCTTTTGGAATGTTTCTTCCGGCTCCATCTGAGAGGAGACATCATACCCTCGCGATAATATGGCAATCCAGGGGGGTAGTAATTGGGTATCGTTGGAGGATGGGCGCAGCTCGGAGATGGTCTCAAGGAGACGGGGTAGTTTAGTAGACGCAACTCCATCTGCCATGCCCTCGAAAATCATTTCGAAGATTTCGAAAACAGCCATCGTCATGTGTTCATTTCCGCTCTTGGCGATGCTAAGCAGGAGTTCACACAGCGCCTCAATATTTTTGCTAGGCCAGCCACCAGTCGCCGCCGCTACCGTCCTCACAAGCTGCAGAGCGTGTATAAGTGCGGGATCGTGCTCCGCCGACGGTTTCTTCTGCTTCCTCGATGCCGCAGCTTTATTCGCTACCTCGGCCAGGGTCTTCATTGCCGATTCGGCGCACAGATCCGCCGCCGGGTGGTCCACGGACGGGCTCGGGGGAGGATTTTGGAGAACTTTTCGCAGGGCCATCTGGGCGCGCTTTCGTACTTTCGGCCTATGGTCCATCGCAAGGTGTAGAAGACCTGCGACAGCTCGTCGCGGACTTATTTCGCTCGCCGGCAGTTTCCATGCTGCGGCATCCTGCGCAAGAAGCAAGACTTCGAGGCACCCAATAGAGGGCCGGAGTAAAGGCGCCTCGGCATCTTCAAGGAGTAAGACGGGCGCTAGTAGGGTGAGAATCTGTGTGAATTTCGATCGGAGGAGCGGTTGCGGCGCATAAGGCGTAACTACATCGATAAGATAGACAATTGACGGTGTTAACTCCTGGTTGACCTTCCCACTCTCGAGGGATTGGTTCAATAGGGCCAAAAGCGCAGCAAGGTATCCAGTGGGTGTCGGTTCGGTGCCCTGTTCCTTGAGCGTTTCCTCCACAGCTTTGAGAATCACGACGGTCTGGAAAGGTCCAAGTTAGCGAGCTAGAATTTGCATTATAAGATGAATTATTTCACTGACTTGCTGTTGGCTCTGAAGATTTGGCGACCGGATCTTGTCTAGCTTCTCTTCTAGAGTCGACATTTTGAAAATCGCAATCCGTAGATGCTTGAATTGGTGAAGGTTTCGGGACTCTGCTATCAGGGAATTTCGGATTTTTTTTGGCTTATCGGATGCAATCGCTTATCGATGAACGCGAACCCCACCACTAGTCCGGCTTGGTGGAGTATATCCTAACCTGGTAGCTCTAATTTGTACTCGAGTCAATAACTCAAGTATCAGTCCGAGATTATACATGAAACATTGAAATAAAGTATTCACTGTCTTTATAAATCTCAATCTTACATTACACCCGGGGTTATAGATAACATCGATTCCAATCTTACGGGGTAACCTCTACTAATGCAGTTGAGATGTAAAAGGTCAACCCTAATGCTGTTTGTTCCATTTCTGTCACGAATGTGTCTGGTATGATCTGGTCTGATCTGGTCCAGCTCGTATTTCTAACCCAAACAACGCAAGAGAGCTCCATCCTGCAAATCGCAAGATAAAGCTGCATTATGGTAGTATAATGCACCCAATCCATACGCCAAAACATCAAGTTTGGCTTGCACTTGTCACAAAGCCTCCCTTCTTCGGTTTATAACGCCACAAGTCCATTTAAGAAAAGTCCTCACCGGCCTCTTCGATGGTGTTTTTGACTCGTACAAGAATCGTAGTCTTCCACTTGTCAAGCTTGCTTAGTTGGTCGTATTGGAATAGCTTGTCGGTAAACTGGTCCTGATCACCTGCTTCGATGGCACCGGCCAGATCCACCAGTAACTGGTGCTCCCGGGTGCTTGGGAATGTCGGGTCTTGATCTCGGTACTTCTCAAGCGCGCGATTCGCAGCGACCATATCACTTGTCGCTAGATGGCAGATACCCGCCTTGAGGAAGTAATCCTTGACCGAGTAGCGCATCAGATTGTTGTTAATAGAGGCCGCCGCGACCTTCTCGTACTGCTCGATCGACTTATAGTAGTCGCCTTCGAGGGCAGCAATGTCTGCTACCTTGAGCCATAACTTGTTCGCAAGGCTAGATGTGCGAATTAGCTTTCAAACATCTTATCGTAATACCTAGTGACATGATGGGGTTACTAACGCCGCAGCATTATCTCCTTCATACCACCCAGCAGCAGTCTCGTATGCCTCGAGCGCACGCTTGGTATCACCTATCTCCACCTCGAAAACCTCACCCATGTTCTCCTTATGCTGCGCCGCCCGCCTGAAATTCCCCTTCTTGCAGTACTGGCCGACGGCGACCTCAAGACATCGCACGGCATCTTCCGGGTTCTCTTTCCGGTACACCTTAAAAGCATCGACAAGCGTGTTTGCGGCATCGTCGGGTTCGTTTAGATGCTTGCTCTGAACCGCAGCCGCCTTTTCGAAAGCCTGGCCGGCCTCTCGGTTCATCTTTTGGATCCTAAAGGCATTCGCTGCCTCGACGTACAGGTCTGCTGCACTTTGGTATTTTTCTTCTCGGCCGCCGAAGAAGCTGAAGCCGCCGGAGGCGCCGGAGAGCGCCTTGTCTGCCTACGTTGGCGATCTACGTTAGCGACTATGTAAGTGGGTATGGAGATGGTGGCGGGGCAAGTAGACCGACCTTCTGGAGTAGCGCACGAGGATCTCCAGCCATAGTGATGGGATTCTATGTTGTTGCTATACTAAAAGGAGAGAAAAGTTGTAGTAATGGTAGATTAATGGACTTTATTGCTTGTTAACCTAAGTGTTGTTGACAAAGGAGTGAGAATGGTAAAGTACAGTTTCGGATTGCGACGCGGCTACCTGACGTTAGGTAAGTTTCGAGCTACATACATTAGGTACATACATGTATGTAACCTATGACATCGCCCTGTCTCACCTTGGACCCTTGCAAGTATCTATGTACATTCAAAGTAGGTACCTGACACCACCTCCGACAGGGATCTTCTAGGTTAGTGTATTTCGATAAAGCACTCCCACATCAATATTGTAGACCTTCTCCAACCTATTTGGACGAATTCAAGCGACAATGAATTCACCAATATGCAGTCACTGCCACAAGGCACTACACCAATCTTTGCGAGATCTACGAAGAAGAGGGCACCAACGACGCATACTATCCTCAGCCACCCCCCGCCAAACCTCAAGCTCAAGCTCAAGCTCAAGCTCAACTTCACCCGAACCCGAACCCGAGTCCCTAGCGGCCCTCTTCTCGAAACCAACCTGGTCAGTCCGGTCTCTTCTCCCGGAGCCATCTTCCCTAACCAACACCGATTCCTCAACCGAGGCCGAAATAACCCCCCGCACCCTACAACACCTCCTGCGCCTCTCCGCCCTCCCTCCGCCCACTTCCCCCTCGGAAGAAGCACTTATGCTCTCAACGTTAACCTCGCAACTGCACTTCGTACGCGCCGTGCGCTCCGTGAATACAACCGGCGTCGAGCCCTTGCGTGCGATACGCGACGAAACTGCGCTCGGCCAGCGTGAGCAGACCATTGGCTTAGAGCAACTAAAAGACGCACTCGCGAACGAGGATGTAGTAGGCCACGCGCGACGCCCGCGCCGACGGCAGCAGCAGCAGCAAGGGGGCAATGGAGGTGCTGATCCCGGGGTGGAAGGATGGGACGTTTTAGCCGGAGCCAGCGAGACGGCAGGGCGGTATTTCGTAGTCCGGACAGGCGCAGGGCAAGTAGAGAAGACGGAAGAGACTTAATAATAAGAATAATAATAAGATGAGATGAGCAATTACTACGCAATGTGTAAGTAAAGTCTTCTGGCCTGCCTATCTGCGTATGCCGTCCTCTTTCTGGTGTACACGCCTGGCCTACCTGCCTGTTCGCATAACTGCACCTAACACAAAGAACAATGCTTAGACTATCTTACAGCATCACCTCATACCAAAATTCATCGCCAACCAATAAAAACGAAACCGATCATGTATCGCCCTCTAGTCAATGCAACCCCCTAGAACTGAAATAATGTACATCCCTCCGTTGCCGCAGATCTTGAGGGTCGGATCGGTGCGTTCCAGGACGTCGTCGCTACTTGCTACCCAGCTTCACACCTTTCACGCCATTCGCGACTACTCGGATATCCTCCTTGCACTTAGCTCGGCTCTTCTTTTCCCGTTCTTCGTCGAGTTTCGCCTCGGCGCTGATGTGTGCGTTCAGCTTCTGCTGTTCCTTCATAATTTGGTCATAGTTGATGTCTTCCCAGCCGACCTTCTTCAGGACGCTACCGACGAGATGGTGGTATCGAAGGTGATTCGTAGCTATCTGGGTTACCTCGAAATTTTCGACGTTCGGTACTCCTTCGATCCTCTGTAAGCCAGCAACGCCGTATTGCCAGCTACTACTGCGATAGAGGAAGCCCAACATGTAGTCTCTCTTGGAGTAAACGTTGACTAGTCTGCTAGCAACGACGCTCTTCATTGTAGCCCAAACGCGAACTTCGGACGGGCAAGGTGCGCCCATAATAATCACGTTCTCTACTAATCCAAAAGCTCGCTTCTCGGCCAGAATCATCAGGCAGCAATAGATTATGCGAGCCCCCAGGCTATATCCTATCAACGTAACGGGTCTCTCGCCGTAGATTCTGTTTATGAGAACGTCGGCGAGCACCGCACCTGCCTTTTCTGCTCGGACCATTCCGATACACCAAGGATTTTCGATGACCTTACTGATCTTCACGAGGGCTGTGGGCCATATAGACTTGGTCAGCCTGTCGTAAACTAGAGCAAGAAATTAGCTTATGTTCCACTATAGCATGTGAGGCGTCCTTACCATTCATCGAATCAAGTTCCTTTTTTGCTTCACTCCAAGCTGAACTCTTCGCGAGCGTATCTAGAGCGATACCCATCTTCGTCAGGGCCTCCAGCTCCCATCTCATTGCGTAGGATTCATTCTGTTGACCTAGGAACTGCCAGGATGTAAGGAAGTCGTCCGGGTTGGTGAGCAGTCCAGTGATTCCGATGGTGACTCGCATTCTGCGATTCTCGGCGGGAACATCCTTAGGGTCGATCAGCTCCGGTGTGTGAATTCCATGTAAAGGTATCATGCCGAAATCCTGGGTGTCCTTGCCGTGTGCGTCAATCGTTTTGCTTCCTTGTCGGGCTCCATACAGACCAAACAAGGTACCAACGACGACAGTGTTATCGTTCATAGGTCCTAGTAGACTAGCTGTTGCTGACTGGTCAAGTCCGATACCCCCGAAAACAGTACCAAGTCCGGCTGCGACGAGGGGGGCTGCAAGGACGCCAGGGTTTCCTCCCAGGGCTGCGTTAGCCATGCCCGGTTTCCAACGTCGGGAAGTTTTAGCTTCCTCCGCTCGCCTTTGGGCGATCTCCTCGATAGGGATACCCAGGATAACCTTGGAAAGGGCTTGCGAGACTCTGACCTCGTCTTGCAATAATACCCACATCGGGATGTTCAACGACGAAGCAAGTCTTACTAATAGGATTCTCGAGTACAGAGAATACTGGTCAAGCCCGAGCAGAATTAGTAGCATGGAATGCAATATCAAGGCACGCTTCTCCTTGGGGCAATCTTTAAGGGGCGTAGGAATAGGGGGATAAAGCCGAACAAGAGCCAGCGAGGCAGCCTCAGCAGCCGTGTTGGGTCCTAAGGTATCGGATTAGCTCTGCTAGGAAAACTAGATGCATAATATGGGGGGGGGGCTCTAGAATTCTGAATTTGTAACGTATGGAGCTATTCAAAAAAAAAAAAAAAAAAAAAAAAAGAGGAATCACGACGACGTTCATTGGTGGTAAGCCTCTCAAGGAAGAACTTACCACTACCACTTGGCAACAAAGGTCTTCCTCTTGCGGCATTACCTCCTGATCGTCTTGCATTACCTGATACTTGGGGTAGCTGGCCGCCAACGTTGCCAGTTGTTCCGCCGTTTTTAATCACGATATCCTGGGTACGCTTGAGCAAGTTGACACGCCATTTGCAGAAGTGTGCTTGGGCGTCTCTTTTCAATTCGAAAAGGCTTGAGACCAGTACATCGTGCTCCGTCTTTTGATACAAGTGACGAACTTCTTCGGGAGACTTGGGCAGTCTCCACGTGGGATCTAGCGACCTTGCCGTCGTGGTAGCTTGGTGATTGGGTCTTGCATTCTCCTTCTGGGAATCCGAGTTGCTATTCTGGCCTACGGCGATATTACCGTATAAGTGTCGATATTTCTCGCTACGGGGATTGGGAACGGTGTTGCACACTGCTTTGGGTGGGTTGATTCCCTCCTCGGGTTTAACATGACCGGGACTAAGATTCTCGAAGTTATCGCGTATCTGCCTACTCATATCGTCGACGATAGCAGAAATGAGTTTTTGAAGTTGGAACTTTTGTTCCATGTTGATACATGCACTGAGGTCGAGCTCGGTGCGCTTGGGCGGACGCCCTCGCGTTGGGTTGTTGTTACGAGGCATTGTTTGACCTTCGTCTTCAGATGAACTTGAATAGTTGAAGGTTTGATCCATGTCTATAATTCCCTTTGGGCAAAGAAGAGTTAATATATGGGCATGAGTGAATGTGCGGGGTTGCGGTTGCCGGTTGCTGTTGCTGTTGCTGTTGCTGTTGCTGTTGCTGTTGCTGTTGCTGCTACTTCTGTTGCGGTAGTGACGGTGGTGACTGACGGCAGTGACGATGTTGCTTAGGATCTGGGGTGAGGTGCGTTGCTGGGCAGTTATGAGTGAAGGAAGTGACGAAGAAAGTGACGAAGGGGGCAACAACGAACCAAAAATTGGTCTGTACCTACCTACCTATGTTGTTAGGAGGTACGATGTCTGCCTGACTGACTGTACCTACATGTAACCTATAAAATATGGACATGCCATCTAATGAGCTACATTATGAGGTACATAATGTAACACAGACTGAAGTATAGTCGCAAACATTCCATATGTCGTCTTTATCGTTAATGCTGCAGCTATCCGAATCCCTTAATGCAATACGTACATCGTGTAGAATAGCCAGGCACCTACCTAGTATTAGGGCATGTGACTAAATGTGTTATGTTACCTCAAGTCTGTTTTGCTATGGAGGATTTCAGGATGCTATGCTATGCTACTTGTATGTAAAGGGACACATAAAGGGACACAAAAAGGGGCGCATAGACTAAACCCACCAGAACATACTCCTCCCACTTTGAATTGTAAGATAGCCTGAGCACTTGACTTGTAACATACATAAATAAACTTATAACTACCTAGATAGTATAACTAGTTAAGATCTGAAAGCCGAGCTTTGTTTTCGTTGATCTAGGCGAGCAAGCTTCAAGCGTAATACCAGACGATAATAAGATTTAGCTAACCCGACTCACAGATTGTCATAGCCATTATCTACACTACCTAGCTAATCTGCACGCATGGAATAGTCACATGCAATAAGCCTCCCCTTTTCTATAAACATTTTCCTTTCTTAAACTAGTTATAGCAAATCTCTACTTAACTTAACTACCTAAGCATGGTTCACTGTCTTGCCCTTAAGTATGGCTAGTGAATATAAAGGGGCCAGAGTAATTAATGAATATAACAGACATGGTATTTACTAGCCGCTAAGGCGACAGTACTCATGTTACATTATCAATTTAGCTCTCGGGTTAGCTATAGAAACTGGTAACTATAACTTTCAATGTTGTCGAATAGCTAACCTAGGAAACAACTCATCTGTATGAGATGTTCCTATAAGGCTCCATCCCCGAAGCATAAAGTACAGCATTAAGCTTTATATTAGCAAGCAAAGATAGGTCATTCGCTGGATTATGATGCGGTAACATCTCTACAATAGCATGTCGTGCTACCTTGCTAGTTATGCCATGACAATTCGTTGCGCCTATGCTCGATCTTCACCAGTTCCGTTGCACTACCTAGCCGATCAATCGGCATCTATAACGTATGAGATGTATTAGGTAGTTAAATTACCGTCTATTAAGATTTCTTCTATAGGTAGCAACAATGCAGGGTCTGTTAATCCAAGGAGTAAACACATCCATTAAACATATATCTTCGGAATTGCATAGTCTTATGCTACTGTGTGTTTACTATCAAGTCGCACTAACCGGCCCCTAATAAAACAGTCTAATTAGCTCAGACGGCCTATGCGTCAATATCAGGTATCTATTAACTTCCTACGATCGTGACCAATATATAACCAGCTACGGAAACCAGCCAATTGGACCTCATTACCGCCTATCACAGATAATTACAACTTACGAGGTAAGATTCATTCATGAAATTACCGAAAACTTGGTTATGACGGTGTCAGGGGCACCACGTTTAGTTACATAGGTCTTTTGTATTGTAACTTCTAGAAGAATTGATAACTCCCCCACGCGAGTTAAGCATAGATACTGCTCTTGAGCTTGCCTTAGTAAGAGCTAAAACACGGCAGCAGTGACACGATCGAGATGGGTGCAAACACACCCGTCTCAATAGGTGGCGTCCTGCAAAATACCGAACTGGAAGTCAACGATTACCTATTACCTATAGCGCACGTCAGTGAAGGAAGGCAACGTGACGAGCTAAAGCTTTGGTGGAAATAAAAGGCCTTGCTGATGGGTTGATCATGACATCGTATGCCGTGGTTATGTACGACCATCTCCAAAACCCCGCGTTGGGATGTAAAGCTCGCGGTTTGGGGAAGAGATCCGTTTGTTGACATTGACGTTTGGCCTGTGGGAGTGTGAGAGTGTGAGTTGGAAGATATCGGGATGCTAGGCCCCATTGGTCAATCAGCCCACGTGCGTATGAGGAGCTTTATTAAAAGGATGAAGACTAACATAGCTCCAAGACACATGTATGTGATTGGTCTCAAGCTACAATCTAGATAATTTAGAAGCACGCCGGTTGCGACTTGGTCTGCTTGGTGTTGAATTGATGCCGGGTATTTGCATTCGGGCGTTTCTGCTATGTAAGTCCGTCTTTTAAGTTAAGATTAGTTAGGTAAGGTACCTCTTAGATAAGTGGTGGAAGTCAAGAAGACGAGCGAGATTGACTAGCTGAATTCAAGCTTTAGATAAGCTTTAGTTCCGAATGTTACAAAGCATCTACGATCGCTTGCTTCGAATACTTTACACTGCATAGGTACCTACCTAAGGTATCCAAAAATCAGTTTTTATCTGAAGTTCAATATCGTATGGCTAGGTAATATTTAACCCTTTGCCAAACGAAGACTGCGGGCGCTTGCTCAGCTTTAAATGCAGGGGTAAGCTGAGGTCCTACATATTACCAAAGTTGGGCACTTTTGGGACTTTGGGGATTATATAGGTAGGTAGGTAGGTACCTATGTACCTAATGTTAGGTACTGTAAGATTAAGGAAGTACGTACAAGTAATATATGGATACTTTAAGATACATCTAGACTGCCACGAGGGCCCCCTAGCTGCGAGTGGACATAGTGGGTTTTAGCGAAATCTATCACCCGCGGGTTTCTTGGCTGCTCCGCCATAAACCTTGTAGATTCGTATACATGATGTACAACCCCCAAATCGTCTCGTCTAACAATAAATCGACTAACAATAAATCGACTCGGCTGGGGCATAACGTGCTCTACATAGTAGGTACTACAGGGAAACCCGTCTTAGTGCCTTAGCGCTCAGCAGAGGGGGTACCAATTCCTCCCGCACACGGATAATTGGATTTAATTCGACCCCTCGACGTCGCATCTCGAAGACGGGACACGACGGAACCGAGCTTAGATACATCCATTAATCCATATCTCCAATGGATGTCTTGTCATCACTTGAACCTCCAAATTTCTACTTACCAATTCCCGAGTTATTGTTTTTTTTTCTCTGACGCTTTTGAACCTACCATAACTCCTATTATTCTGTAAACCCTCATTCGACACGCGGCTGGCCGAGGTCGAGTATCTCTCTTCCTCTCGAAGCTCCAGATTTATTACGGAGTTGACACCTGCCAACTTTTCCGAAGAATTTGTCGTGTTGGTACATACCTACCTATATACAGATTCTGCCCCCCGTGGCTGCGACGTACGTTGGGAATTAATATCCGCGCTCTACGTTCTACGTTGGACCGCGTAACATTACACAGCCATTTTGCCTGGTTGATATATTTCCGCCACAGCCATCTGTCGGTGAAAGTCGTTTCTCGTGTCCTTCACTTCGTCTCTCGTCCGAGTTCCCCTCAAGCATCCTGTGCACAGTAACACCAGGTCCTCTGCCTACCTGAATCACAACAAGTGCGTGTTACATTAAACGATAATCCATAACGGTCTTCAATGAATCGGATGTTAAACCTTCTAATAGACTGAGGTGATTCGACGGCGACTCAATTTATCAGGTCCGGCCGAACGGCGTGAGCGGGTCATAGCAGACAATCTCCCGCTCTCCTTTACCCTTGATACCTTCGTCCTCGTCGAGCGCTACCTTATTCAATCCCGATCCCCTTTCCGAATACTTCCTATTCCTATCGTCGCTCGAAATATATTTCTTAATCGTCCGCTCCTGGGAGGCTTCAAATCTCTCGTCGCCCGAACCCCTCTCGAGCTATATACTTCGGTAGACATCGTAGGCGAAATAGGGCCACGACATATAGTTATAGTCATGAAATCTCTTCAGTAAAGCTCCTGCTGGCTCGATATAAAGAGTTACTAATTATATGACTGCGGTTCTCTACAATCATCAGCTGACTGCATGCTATTATCGCCATGGAGAGTATTAACATCTCTGTCATAGGGGCCAATGGAGTGGGTAAATCCCACTTCATACAAAAGGCCATGTCGCTACCGCGCATGCCCGGCCCTAATCCCACGACAGCTCGTATTAATATCGACAATGTACCTTACGCTGTTACACTGTTCGAATTGGATCTCGAATACTTCGACGTGGACCCCGATCGGCAGATCAAGTGGCCAAAACAAATAGGCGGCGCCATCGTTCCTCGTGTGAATGGCGTCTTGCTCTTATATGATGTGATGAACAGAGAGAGCATCATAGAGTTGCCTCAGACCTTGAGTAAGTGCCCATCAATCAGTGTCTTATTCGAGTGTAGTTACGATACCTCGGAAGATGAGTAGCGACTAACTCGACTAGATGCTCTCGTGAACTCTTCATTACCGGCGGTTCTCGTTGCGACGAAGTGCGATAACCCTGAGAAATTACGACATATCGATACGGAAGCGGTTGCCTCGGCGTGTCAATCATGCCTCGCAACTTTTAAAACGTCCGTCAATAAGCCGGAGAGTGCGAGGATAGCTTTGTCTACGTTGCTTAAAGCACTAGTATCAAGAAGCCAAAGTATGTATCTCCTCGGGGAAGCTCTTTGTTGCGGGTTAATGGAGCTTCGGGATTGCTCATCTACAGCCTAAGAAAAGCCTTGCTACTTTATGTTTCTTCATCTAATTATGGACTATAGCTGTAGAAATAGACACCGCGGAAGCGATAAGCAGTGCGAGACGTAGGGCAGCT